AACGCAATCGGCGTACTGCCAAAAATAAATTGATTACTGTCACGGAAATAGCTAGAAAAACTCACACACACACACAAACACACACACACACACTCATAGCTATACTCATACCTGCTATAATGCCGTCTTTGCTCAAACTTTGTTTCTTAATCGATATGCCCCCTTTTGTTGTGTGTGTGTGCGTGTGTGTGTGTGTGTTTGTGTTCGACTCTCAAAATGTCTCAAAGTCAAAAGCAGCTTAAATCAAAGCCACACAGTCTGTTGGGCATGGTTGGTCTGCGTCTTCAGGTAGCCTCACGTTTATAGATCACGTGACGGGGCAATAAATAGTTGGCGCTGTCAATTAAAGACACCTGACACTCACCGTTAGAAGTTGTGGCTTCTACACTGTTAGAAAAAATGCTGCCTGAAATTCAGGGCGAAAGTGCTTAACTTCGTCTGAGACGGAGTGTTTGTAGGCAAGAAGAGAAACAAACTAACTAAAAATAACTAACAATTATAGACAAGAGAGCAAGCTACAGTCGGACAATACCGACAGTGAAATACCCTGTAACGGCCCTGAGTCTTGGCAGAAGCAAAAAAAATTAAAAAACGGAAAAAGAGCAACTCCCTCGAAAACTTTGGGGTTATAGTATTGGAATAAAATTGTTTCACTAAAAACTTTTCTTGGAATCAAACGATTTGGAGAGAACAAAAAATAAAATAAAATAAAATAAAAACGTATTTCCTGGGGATATAAAAAGTCTAAAAACCAAGCATGGTCTTGTGGGTTCAGCCGTTTCCGAAATTTATTCAGACAGAAGGACATATCTAGATTGACTTTGCTCTTCATGCTTGTTAAGAATATGCGATTATATGTATATGTTATGCTTTCTTCTTTGTATTACAAACTTTGCACAAACCTAATATACCCTTTTTACCCTTCAGGTACAGAGTATAAACAGCCGAGAACAGTTCCATGTGCAGGCAAGATCATGGCGTCAGTTTTTTGGGAATGTACGTGAGATAATTATCCAAAAGAGAGGAGATTTTCTACGGCCAGCATTATGCTTCCGAGTAAAAAACGGACAAACAAACAAAGGTATTGTTCCCTCGCCAAGACGGTATACCACACTTACCATTTTTACCAGATTTAGGCCCCTAGGATTATTTTCTCTTTCTAAACATGAAGCTTGGCGGTAAAAGAAATTAAATCTGAAGCTGTTGAGGAGCTAGACATTTCTCTTTTGTTTTCTTTCTTTTTTACATCGACAGCTTTATATAAATTTTAATTAAGACTAAACATCTAGTTTTAGTTGTATTTGTATTTAGTTATAATTTAAGTTATAAATTACCAGTTAAATTTAAAAAAAAAGGTTTATTTGACGATGAAATAAATAAATGAAATAAAAATCCAAGCTACTGAGCATCGATCTTAAAGTGAACTATTTAGAAATAATGTTAATTTTTCCAAAATGGTTCAAATTATTTAAATAATTCAAAGCTCTCCCTTCCCAGCAGAGTTTATTAAAAACTGCCTTGTCCAAGTCCCAATATTTTTCCAGCTCCTACTACTACCATTACTCGTGTTGTATTAAGAAATCTCTGCTATCTGACGCCAAACTTTTCAACATTTCTAAGCAATGCAACACCAATTGCCCGCTGCTCGCTGCTCGCTGCCCCTCGCCCTTCATCGCCACAAACTTGAATGGCAGAGCAAAGCAATTGATTGGCATTAACAAATGTATTAGAAACTTTCCCTGTATAATTTCCGCATTTGTAAGGCTGTCGATGGACTGAACTGGGTCTGGACTGGGACTTCAAATTGCACTTCCGTGCGAAAAATTGTTTATCGAAAACTTTCATTTTGATTTGTGTTGCCGCTTCCGACCTCCGTAACTCCGTAACTCCCTTCCCCCGTCCCCCGTCCCCCTCCATTGCTGCCAACTCTTTTCCAGTATCAATGGAAATGCTTGTCGCAATAGAATGCCACGCCATGGCGGGCCAGGGCTCGAGCCGAGCCGAGCCGAGCCGTCGATAAAGTTTGCTCCTATTGTCATTTTATTGATTTGTTATAAATTTTACACATTCGCACGCTTAAACACACAAACACCAACACACACACACACACACACACACATGTGTGCTTATCTTTTCATGCGCGTCTATTAAATGTAAATGGCTGGAAAATTTTTTTTTTTTTGCAGACGCCGCCCACAGCACGCGCCCAGACGCAGTCGTACGTGTGGAGGTAAGTCGTAACCCTTTGGCCTTATCTGGGACTTTTCAATGAGATTTCTATCACTTTAAATTCCATTTTATTGCCGTTGACTGCAAAGTGATCAGCAAATACGTACGCAGCCGTAGAAATGGAGGTGAAAAGCGCAAAATAAATAGGAAAATACGAAAACCGTCGTATCCCATGAATGCCAGAACGTTAAAATAAATTGATATTTTCTTTGCCACTTTGCCACTACGAGTTTTTCAATTTCTCGATGCTTATCGATTTTCGTGCCAAATGATGGGCGTGCTTTGTTCAAAGTTTTTCTTAAACGCTTTAAGTACAGCGCCAGTCTAAAATTTTACACAGCTGTTGATATGTTTGTGTGTCCGCCCCCCCGTCCCGACATAATTTGTGACACTCTTTGCTGAAAAGTTTTTCACACTTGATTTGATAATCTGTCGTAAATTTCGTTGTTTTCACAAATTTTCACAATTAAGGCGCATTTAATGACGTGCCGCAAATATTAACACACAATACTTCCGTCTAAAACAACCACCAGACCCACATCCAGATCCAGATCTCTGGCCACCCCCTCCGCCAGCCGCCCAACACAGATGTTGACATCGCAACTCCATTCCACAGTCCACACACAGAGTCTCGGTCCAGAAACGGAAAATCTCAGCGCACTGCTGCGCTAATTAAGCGAAACGTGAACATTTTTGCTTATTATTTTCCCAAATTTTTACGACTTGCCCAATGAACCATTCTGGAAAAGATATTGTTTGGCAACATTCTGAAATTAGTATCTCGGAAGTTATTGTTATTGCAGTCACAGCGCCTGCCGACGGCCTGAGATCAAGGAGGAAGCTGTCAAAACAGAAAGAAGTGAGTTTTAATTGTGTAAATGAATTAATTTTTATGCTCGAGCGCACTCAAAACTTTCTGTCATTTCAGGGAATATACATATATACATGCATATATAATATTTATGGAATGCCAAATAAATGGGAAGCATTATTATTACCTACATTTTTTAATTTACTATACCAATTAAATTGGCTGCTACTGTGCTTAGTAATTGCACGCCACTTTGCTTTTCATAGCATACTTTTGTGATGGCCAACAAATAAAAAATGAACACAACAAACAGCCATATAAGTCGACATTTTCAATTTGAAAAACGACGTTTAAAAAAAACATTGAATCTTAATATTGTAAATTGAAAAAAGAATTAAAATAAACATTTAAATTAAAATAAAAGATATTATGAATATTTTATTGAATAAGGTTTGAAAAAATTGTTTAATATTAAAATAAAATAATTAAAATAAAAAAATTTTAAAAAATATACATTTTCGCCTCAACGCTTTTCATTTAATAAAGAACGAACTAACAAGAAGAATAGTTTTCCTATTGTGTCTGCGAACGGCCGATTATTCCATCCAGCTCGATTTGAGTGCATTTTAAATTGCTTTCGAACGCTATTTTATAACATATGTTCGATTACAAGATGATTATTATTATTAATAATATTGTAAACATCCACAAAATTCTATTAGTTGCATATTTACATAAACTAGTAACGAAAATTGAAAAAATTAAGCTAATTTTATATAATTTTCAGCAGTTCTTCGCTGATGTTTCCTTTTTTAAAATAATCTGCAAGCTACTTTCCACTAAATATTTTTTTAAATAAAAGCAAAACCCATACTTTTAAACATTATTAAGTTTAAAAAATATTTAAGAAACATCCAATGCGCCGTATTGTTCTTCTCTTTCTTCCGTCCTTAATATTTGTCTCTCCTTTACTATTTATTTATTTATTTTATCAACATGCAGATGTGAAAAAATTCAAAACAATACAGAGCTTATACTACATAAAACTAAAGAAGAACAAAGCCTATAGAAATAACAAAAATATCTAATAACGAATCCGACGCGGACCGGGAAATTTATTTGCCAAACGACCAGCTATACCCCGATTCACAGCAGAGAGTAGTCAGAGACATTATTAAACATAACAAAAAGAAAAATAGTAATAGAAGATGAAGAAGAAGTATTAAGTATTAAAATAAATAAATTTTATTATAAAATATTATTATTTTATTATTATTATTCACTTTACCAATTGCTTAAATATTGATTACCTTTTCCAACCAAATACTGAATGTTATAGTATACTTAATATTCTAAATGGATAAGCTTTCAAAGCCGCTTCAATTTATACGAACCTCGAAGCTAAGGGCGATTTTCGATTGAGCGCGAATCGAAATGTGTACAAACACTATATTGTTTTTTGTAATTCCATACATCAAAGCTAAACGTAAGCCCTAATTACATATTTGCTTTAAACATCGCACTCGCCTACAAATGTTGCAAAGGTAAACATTTATTCAAGTACTCTTTGTGCACTGTCGATATTTGCAGTTTTGTGCAAATATTTAAACTTTGGTTGCCAGAGCTTATTATTCAAATTAATTACAAATGCCTGCAATTATCTTATTTAATAAACAAATCAGCCAAATCACGACTAATGTGACATTATCCCCCTCCACATCATCACACAGCCGCGTCTGCACTCTATAATCTGAGAACGTATGACTGAGCAATTTTGGTGTCTTACCGCAAAACTCTCGGCGGCAAATGCCGCTCGTCATTTTGTTGCAAAAGTCAACAAGTGGCTAGAAAACCACAGGGCACCCATACGGCATCGCGGATTTTCCAACTGGCGACTTGACATTGAGACGGGTTCCAGTTATCCGCAATGCTTGTTGCATTTTCAGTTGCATGCGAGTCGCGGCTCTGACAGGTTGCATTTTGGTGGAGTGATTTATCTGACTAACTAGAGTCAGTGTGATACTATATATTGGAGTTCTTTCCTATCTAGTATACTAAAGCGCACTTAAAATATAATTTCAAACTCACGACAAAGCAATAAATTATAGGCGTGTGAGACAGCCTCTTAACAAAAGCAAGCAAAACATTTCATCAGTGCCGAAAGAACACTTAAAACTACAACTGCACAATAGCTGGACAATGATTTGTTATTGAAAATGTGTTTACTTTTCAAATACTATATTTATGTGTACATAAAAATGTCGAAAAATCGGAAAACAAACCTATGCGATTTTTTTATTTTTCCCAAAATATATATTTCATCCTTTACGAATAACTTAAGAACATCAAATGAAAAGTATCAATCAAAAGTAAAAATTTAAAATTGAAAAATCCTGCGTCCTTCGCCACTAAGTTGTGTTACAAAAGCGCTACACACCAGCAGCGGTTGTTTTATGAAAACAAGCAGGGACACAGAAAGATCGCTAGATGGCGCAAGAGTTCTGTTAATTTTAGTAGCTCCTTTCACCAATTTCAAATTTCTTTTCAACTTAAGGACAATTAAATCAAACTAACTTTTTTATAAACCGCCCAGGACTATTTTATGGACAATGTTCAGAAATTTGTGGGGCTAATCATAGCTTTATACCAATTGTGATTGAAAGGGTTTCTGTAAATTATTTTATTAAATGAATTTCTAAAAATTTAAATTCTTCATTAGATTACTGAAAGCAAGTACTGGTCTCTTAAACCACTTTATAGTAAATTAGCACTTCTATTGAAAAAAAATTAGTTTAAATATAACATTAGTATGTCAAAAGCCAAAAGTTTAATAATTATAGTTGAATAGTATTTCAAGTGGATAAAGGGCTCATAACTAGATTATTCCAGAACTTTTGGAGCGGTTTCTTTTAATGGTCCTTTAAAAGTGCTTTCAAATAATTTGAATAAATATATATGTATATTAAAATAAATATTAAAACGTTTATTCGAACATGAATTAAAGAACTATTTAAAAAACTATTAATATTACTTTAGAAACATTTCAATATAGTTTTTCATTTTAATATAATTGAACTAATTTAATGAAGTTATTAGTTATATTTATTCTTTTTTATTTATTATAAGAAGAAGGCATTAATGCTTTGGATGTTTAGTTTTTCCCCAATAACACCAGACCCAACCAAAATGTTATACAATAATAAGTAGCTGCAACATATTGATTTCCATTAAAATTCTACATGTGATGAATTAATTAGCTAATAACTAAGTTAGTGTCGAATGGTAGCTATACATTTTAGCCTATATATAAAGCACTTGAGGGTCTTCATGTGAATAAGCAGTGACTAATTATGTAGCCTGTATTAAGTTACAGTTTTTCGATAATATATTTAGTTTTTTTATATTTTAGTTGTTTTCTTCAATTATTACTTTCCTTTGAAGTCGATCAGTTGCTTATTAATAGTCAGATTTTGCACTATATTAGGCGCTTTCAAATACTTCCGTGTCACTTGGATATTGTCTTTAGTGGGGTTGTTCAAGGCGAGTTCTTTCAAAAAAGATTTGTGATAGTCAATAATTCAATGAAATACCTTTGGAATACTTTTGGACAGAGAATTGCAAATATGATCTAATTAGAAAATTGATTTTGAATTAAAGGCTCATTTATCTCTTTATTAAATATATATAAATATATATATATACAAACAAAGTTGAAATTTTTCAGATTCAAATTCTGGTTTCCTAAGAAAAGTTTGAAATCATATAAACACCATAATAATAACAAGAAGAAAACCAAACATATAGCCTCACGTAAACTTATCGTATTAGAGTGGAACCTGAGAATGTTTTTCCTTTTATTTGCTTATGCTTCGGGTTTTTTTTTATATAAACAGGCTTTTTTGGTTTGTTTATGAACAAAAGACATGGCGGGATCGATGTAATAAATAATAATTCCTAAAAATAAACCAAAATGAAGCTGTTTGTGGCAATCTTGAAAACCTATTCTATCTTTTTTTTTCGAAAGGAACTATTTTCAGTTAACTTGACATTTGATTTAAACGTTCTGCAAACCTGTCAACAAACTAACAATTTGTGAGAGTAAAATAGGAAAATCATACTATAATGCATATTATTTACAGTGAAACCATTTTGAAATTCTGAAGCTGGTTCTATCGAGCAATTATAAAATCAAGATTCAACATTGTAGGAAGCCAGAGATTAATATAAAATGCTTGCTTTATTTGTATGTGTGTTTGATTGAAGGCCGATTGGTCGTCGATTGCTTGATGATTGGCTTGCAATGCTTGCCCATAAAAGTGAATACATTGTTGCATTTCCAAACGTTTATGCTTCCATTCGGCCAATATGCAACGGCGTATAATTAAAGACGTAAGCCGGACACCTTCAGTCGACGTCAGGCCAAGAGTATATATTAAGACTAACTGAAATGTCTCCACGAACGCCTCAAGGTACCCCAAGTAGCGACTAACAATAACAATAACAATAGCAACAATAGCAATTGCAGCAAAATGCCGGTCACGATCTTTGTAGTATGTGTGCGCTTAAAATGCAATTTAAATTTTGAGTTCGTTGCAACCTAAACGGCCACAACTTGCCACTTGCAGCGCTTGGTGGGTTTGTTTTTTTTTTTTTGTATTTTTGTATTTGACTTCATCTTGTAGGTGCTTGTACTTGGCGTTCCATTTTGGCTAACTTTGATCTTTTGTTGGGCCAACCCGAAACAATGCTGCAGACTCGCAGCTAAGCGACTCGTTTTGGCAACAATTTTCCGCCATTTAGCCATAGAAGGTCAATTCTAAATTTTACAAGCATGTCATTCAACACTTTTTGATTAGATTTTTGGGTAAATGAGATAATCAACTTGAGCTTTGTGGGACTGTTTTTAACAATAATGTGACTAAAATGACAAAAGAAATGCAATGCATAAATGATATTTTAAGAGCAATTAGAATGCTTGGGCATATATGAGGAAGAAATACACAGGAAGTTTAAAACGTTATAAACTTTATATACAATCTTTATTTATTTATTATATAATGTTCATTAGCATGACAAGTCGAATTGTTGCAGACATCTGTCTGCATTTAAGAAATTATGTCCAAATGTATAAAATATAGAATTTCCTAATTTGTTATGCACTCAGCTTTAATTAGGAACTAAGCTCAAAGTTTCAAATAGTTGCCCTTTTTCGCGCTTTAGTGGAAGAAAAGTTAGCTAAATAAATATGTATATACTTATATCTATCTATATATATATATATATAGATATATATATATATAAATATATATATATATATATATATATATATATATATATATATATATATATATATATATATATATATATATATATATATATACGATACACGTATTTGTTAGATAAGAATAAGCAAACGAAGTTTACTTTATAAAGCACTGATACTAAAAACTCAAATTAGATAGATGATATTATTTTATAGATTCGAGCTTAAGACAGCTGAGTTAAGCAAACGAAGGGAGCTTACTTTATAAAGCACTGATACTAAAAAACACAAATTAGATAGATGATATTATTTTATAGAGTCGAGCCTAAGACAAATGTCTGCCTGAAAGCCCAAGATGAGAGCAAGACAAGTATTCTGGAAGATTAAAACAACAGTTAATTGGGTTCAGCCCTAAAACTTGATACTTCCGAATGCTCGTGCTTGTAAATAAACATATGAAGATAGTATTTAACAGACTTTGCTTCAGGCGGCTTAATTCAAATTTAATTTTAGCCCGAAAACTTGATACTTTCGAAAGCTCTTTCTTCTAATTATACATATGAAGATATTCTTTAACAGAGGAGGCTTTATCCAGAGGGTCTCATATGTACTTTAAGATTAATTTTAAAACTCTTTAAGTTCCTTGAACATTATTGAAAATGTGCAATTTAGTCACCTTGTATTAGATGCTATCAACCATATCTCAGACTCTTATCGCTCGCTTCGCTTCGATAAAATAAGGCAACTTTTTCATATCTTGCCATTCCAGCCGAGCATCTGTAAAGCAACTTTAAAATGTTTGTCTGCTCCATGCTGAAAATATGGCTTCTGGCTTTACTGCTAACACCATCAGAATCGGCACAAATTCTCGGACTTTTTGGACATCCGGGCAAGAGTCACTTTGACTTTTTCCGGCCCATGTTTTTGGCGTTGGCTCAAAATGGTCACAACATTAGCATGTATAGCTATTTTCCCAATAAGATGCCAGTAACCAACTATACGGACTATGTGTTTGACGGCATGCCAGTTTTAACGGATATAGTGGATCTAAAGGTAAGTCATTTGTTGAATACAAGTAGTTCCTTCTGCTTCTCTGGATATCTATTTGTTTGTTTGTCCAAACATATTGGACACCCTATATCTTATCCGTATATCTTATCTTATCCTATTATATTTTATTCAAAATATAAGTAAATGGATGCGAATTCTTTTCAAGTTAATAATAAATTCAATATGAGAACAGATATAAGAACCCTTACCTTTATTCTACATTAACACTTTTCCAACTAATTTAAGAAGAGTACAAAGATAGTTTACTTTAAATATAATAATAAGAAAACATTTCTTTTTTATCTTTTTCATTTTTTATCTTTTTCATTTTAAATTTAAATAGGTTTTAACTGAAATTAGTTTGGCGACTACTCCAACAAAATTTAGAGATATAAACTAGCCGACCAGTTCAACAAAAAGATATGCTAATACTTTTTCAAAATATAATCTACAAATCAAACAACATAACCTCACATATATTTTTCTTCTAAATTTATAATAAATTGAAAATAAATCGTCTTATACATTTATAATCATCTTTTTATACATCTTATAAATCTCCCTCATTAATGATTCTCTCTCCCTCTCTTTCATTTCCAGCCTCTGGAATCGGAGCCCCAGTGGTTCGGCCTGCCCTTCAAAGTATCCACCTTCTTCATGCTGCACGACTGGGGTCTGCGTTCCTGCGAAGTGGCCCTACATTCTCCACTAATCGCTCAGCTGCTCAGCTCGGGAATGCGCTATGATGTCATCATTCTGGAGCACTTCGCCAACGATTGCATGCAGGCGGTGGCGCACCTTCTGCGCGCACCTGTAATTGCGCTGAGTAGCTGTGCCATCATGCCTTGGCATTACAAACGCATGGGCACACCATTTCTGGAAGCTGTCACACCCATGAACTTTTTACCCTACACCGATGAGATGGGTTTTGTGGAACGTGTGAACAACTTTCTGCATTTCCACATTGTCGCTCTGCTGCACAAGTGAGTAGGAAGTAGGAGTCTTGGGCAGTCTGCCGGCATTAATATGTCTTTTGAACGCAGTCTCATCAGCCAACCCGCTACAGATGCTCTGATTGCGAAACGCTTTGGCGCTGGTCTGCCACCGATTAATGAAATCGTCACGAACACAAGCCTCATGCTTATCAATCAGCACTACGCTCTAACGGGCGCACGACCCTATGCACCCAACGTGGTCGAAGTTGGAGGCCTTCAAATAACTCCACAGAAACCACTGCCAGAGGTAGGTAACTGTGATTCGCATTGTGGGGTTCAAGATAATGCAGAAAATCTATTTATTGGATTCGGAGGGAAGAGATGAATACATATATAGACAAATATAATCAGATTAACAAACCATCTCGAAATCCCAAAGGGAGCTTATAATATTAAATAGTGACGGTGAAGAAATGAAACTTACTTCCATTTCAGAGTAAGTAGTCGATCATCTAGTCTGAAATCTATCTACAGATTTGAAACGTTTAATTTACTTTTACGCTCCTCATCAAGTTTCAATCTCCATTTTATTTTTATACAAATTATATATTGTTAAAAATCAAGCGGATGGTTGATAATTCTATCGTTGATTTAATTTTTTTTTTTGCCAAGCAACCTTTTTTGACGTTTTGGCATGCTAGGAAAACTCACCATAGTTCTATCACATTCGGCTGAAAAACAAGGAGAGCTTTAACAAAGGTCGATCATTTTTTCCCCCACTAGCGAGATGAATTTTCCTAAACTCTATTTAGTAATCTATGCCAACTAGAAAACCAAACTTTAATGCAATCAAATAAATAGTAAAGCGACGCCTAATAAACAATCGTACATTTTTTTTAAGATTAATAAAAATCTTCTATCATCATTACTAATGTATTTTTTGTCTTATTTTCTAGAACTTGGACGGTCTTCTGAAGCAATCCAAGCAGGGCGTTATCTATATCAGCTGGGGCTCTATGGTTAATCCGGCCACGTTGCCAGCAACGAAACGCCAGCAGCTATTCGAGTGTATTCGACACTTTGGCGCCTACAGCTTCGTGATGCGCTGGTCAAACGATTCCATGCCTTCGGATAAGCCAAGTAATCTGCATTTCTACGATTGGCTGCCACAGCGCGACTTGCTCTGCCATCCCCAGGTTAAGGCCTTCATGACCCATGGCGGCCTGCTGGGCAGCTCTGAGGCTGTGCACTGCGGCGTACCCATGCTGGTAACGCCATTCTATGGCGATCAGTTCCTCAATGCTGGCGCCATAGTCCAACGAAGGTTTGGCGTCACCGTAAACTTTGCCAACTTCGACAGCAGAAACTTAATCCAGGCCTTACACACCATACTGTCAGCTGAGTAAGTTGATCAGCGCACTATAGTGTAGCATTACATTCGAGCCAATCGACTTTTGTTTTATTTACAGATTTGCGGCGCATGTTAAACACTCAACTGCCGCCTTTCGCCAACGCCCCCAACCGCCCCTGGAACTGGCGCTCTGGTGGATCGAGCATGTGATAGACTCTGGAGGTGCGCCACTGGCCCAAAGCGTTGCCCGACATATCAATTGGCTTATTTACAACTCATTAGATGTCTATTTGTTTTTGCTTTGCGTCATCTTCCTGATACTATGGGCTCTCAGACTGCTGATTAAGTTGGTCCAAAGCTTAGCAACTAGGCGTGTTTCCACAACAGAGGCAGACACGAAAGCAAAGAAACAATAAAGATATGTTCGTTAAAATAATCTAGACCTTTTATTTGCCACTCTATTTGTATTTGTACTTTTATTGATACTCGCAGCTGCTGTCTATTGTTTCATGCGCTCATCGTTAGTTTGCAGAAAATTATTACACTCTGCGCAATCAAAACTAATAAGCGAAACGTTTCCATACACTGTTTTGGTAGACGTTATCAATGAATTCGCTGTGTGTCATTGTTATTCATTTGCCCTAATTTTATTCGCTTCTCATGACTGATTGTTAGGTACCCTTACTCCAAATGAAATAGCTGTGAAATCGGCCAAAAGCGTTAAAGGTTTTAATAGCAGGCAATGAAATGAAGTAAAGGTGTCTAAAATTGGGAATAGGTGTAATTAGGAAGACTAAATACAGTCTTTAAAAACACTATTTCATAGTTTATTTTACAATATTTTGTGCATACTAAATTATTTTAAATATAAAAATGTAACATAGCGTAAATTGTAACATTTTTGGACCATCCGCCTGAATAAATTAAATTAGAACTGAGTTGAACGGAAAAGTGGCCTTCGTTTCTATGCAGCGTCGAAGCGCTTCATGAGCTCCTCCGACGGATAGCTTGGGTGCTTCTAGACAACAGCATTTAATTTAAAATATTGTTATCTGTACATTAAAATTGATAGATAATAGTAAAAACAATAGTAATTTAAAAGAATATTCTTTAGCAGAGGAAAAACTCCAAGCAAAGTGAAATAATAAAAATTTAAAATTTCCAATTTCTAAATATACTATGGTTGAATCTCCATAAAGATGATAAAACTATAAAAAATCTTAACCTAAGATCTGCAAATTATTTGATAAATAATATCTGAAGTTACCATTGCTAATAATTATTGAGAAGAAAAAAAACATTCCCATAAAAAGCAAAAAATTAGTTCTCCATCAACTCTTACTCTGAACTATCCAGCACAGAATTAAGCTAAATTAACTTGATCCTTAGCTTATACCATAGTCGATCCCATACCCGGTTCCATTCTTCCGCGAGAGGGCTTAAGGATCAAGTTAATTTAGCTTAATTCTGTGTAATATATAAATATATGTATATAGTATATATATATATACATGTATTATATGTTTTTGCACATCGTATCATTTCCCACTAAAAAAGAATGGTGCTCCACCTGCTTAGAGTCTATTCACAAATAGTAAACAGCGCTGATTCCGCACCCCAATCAGCTGAGAAGCATTCACATTCAGGCGGCGGCAGAGCTGATAGCGAACGGCCTCACGTTTTTAAAGCATGACTTCTTTAGTACAGCCATGCGTTAATAAAAAGAGCAGCAGAGGCGTAGCAGCAAATAGTCGCGTGCGGGAAACCGGTCGCTGGGACGTTGACGTACGAAACGCTTTTAATGCACGGTGCATTGCCGAAAACAAAAGTTGCAAGTCATCGAAGCTTCGGCGAACAAAATTGATGAGTGCGTCGCCGCCTGCAGATCAGTGCAAGCTGACTTGAGAGAGCCAAGTAGGGAGCCAACTAATACTATATACGCACTATTGCGCTCACTTTGCTCTCTCATTGCCAGACCGAGTCGTCCGCCTGAGACGTTTTTTTGTAGACATTGCAGTTTCAGTGTCAGTCGCTTGTCGAAAGTGAAACAAGTAAGTACAGCACATAGGCCTGTCAGCGCCTCGCTCGCCAACGCAATGCAGTGGAAACGGCAGGCTAGTTAATTGAGCTCCACATTCTGGCAATATAACAGGCAGTGTGTGTATTCGTATTCCTCATAAATGGGCACGGTCTGATTCAGCAATTACTTACTATACATACGAGTATGTGCCTATTTTGCAAAAAGTGTAAACTCAAAAACTAAATGCCGCCTGTGATGCAATCGCTAACGACCCTGCACTTGGTTTATTGCCCGCAATTCGGTTTGCTTTCTTTTTACACTTTTACATAATTTTGCTCGTGTCATGCGCATTAGCGAAAAAGTGCAGTCTAGACGGCGGCTCAAGGTCGTGCCATAAACAGATGAGCAACAAGTGTTTTACAATTTTATTAATTTCCACAGAATGTGTTTGCTGCGCCCGCTCTTGGCACTAGTTTTCCTCTTGGCGCTGGGCATTGGCTCGCTCCAGGCTGGACGCCCCCTGAAGGTGTTGGGCCTATTTCCACATCCGGGCGTCAGTCATTTTCACTTCTTTCGCCCGATTATGCGTGGCCTGGCCGAGGCCGGACACGATGTGAGCGTTGTCAGTCACTTTCCGGAAAAAAACCCACCCATACGCTACAAGGATTTTCCCCTAACTGGGATTGATACGCTTACCAACAGTGTAGATCTACAGGTGAGTTATAATGAAATGTTTTCCTTCTTTCCTTCCTTTGGAGCTTGTCCAACACTCAGAAGAATTTTTGTTGTCACTTTTTGAATAATTCAAATTTTAAATATATGTATGTAAGGCCTTAAACAATAATGTGAAGAAGAACAAGTGGCTGCACTTTATACCTCATAGCTTGAAAGGAATAGCAATTGACAAGACAACTCGTAGGCCTATTAAGATTGACAACCCTAGTAGACCGAACACAGAGTTATCTTAAGCAGTCTGGTATTTGTTATGTTCTCCATTTGGCTTAGAGAGATACACAGATAATTGAGCCATTCACTAACTGCTAATTAACTTTTCCAATTATACTTGTACATGCATTTTTGACTCATCTGCATTGCGGAAGCTATTTTATTTATTACTGGTTATTTAACAGCCTTATCTACTAATTTCTAGTTATAACAAAAATGCTTAATTTTTACGGCTTAAAGTCGAGTGAGTGTGGATCCCAGTAAATAAATAAATACACTCAAAAAATATTTGATAAAAAAAATAAATACAAATTGCTCTTAAAAAGGGATCGCCTTACATTTTTAGAGGAAATATAAGAGTTCAAGATAATCTTCAAAAATGTCTTTCTTTAAAAAAAAAAAAACAAATACAAAATAATAAAAAGAAACACATAAAAGTATTGAATAAAATATCTTAAATTATTTAAGAAGGAAAGGCTTGTATCAGACCTGTAAAGTTGAAATTGGTTCTATATAAGATTTCTTTATATGCCAAGTCTTCTCTTTGATATACTCGACTCCCAAATTATCTTACAACATAAATTAAATTATCTTAGACATACTCATCTGAAAAATAGGTAGAAATAATGGGTTCTACATAAACAACAAAAATAGTAATCAACTTCTTTTGACCAACTCTTTTATATAATTAATTCATAACAACATTATTTTCAATCGAAATATAAGATAAATCCTATCATATTATTGCTTCCGACAGATGTTCGACAAACGCACATTCTACAGCCATTTCCAGGAATTCTTTCTGCTGCTGGACTGGGGTAAAGCGGCCTGCAATTATACGCTTCGCTCCGTGGCTTTGCATCAAATTATGAAAAGGAAGGCAGGCTACTATGACGTCATCATTATGGAGCAGTTCAATACGGACTGCATGATGGGCGTGGCACATCAGCTTCAAGCTCCAGTGATTGCTCTGAGCAGCTGTGCCATGATGCCTTGGCACTACGAGCGAATGGGCGCACCGATTATTCCCTCCCATATACCGGCGCTATTTATGGGGCAATCACAGGACATGGACTTTGGTGGTCGTTTGGCGAACTGGTTCAGTTTTCATGCACTGAACTTAATGTACAAGTAAGCAACGTTTAGTAGATTCCAAATTTCAAAGTAAGACAAATTTAAAAAATCGAACGTCTTCTACATATTTCGAAATTTAAATCGCATTTTAAATTGCGTTATTTAAGAAATTCTGAACCTAACGCGAATTTTTTGTAGAAACGTGTTTTTGAAGCAATTTTAATTAAGTTTCAAAACTTTTTACCAATTCCAAACCAATTTTTGAAATACAAAGAACTATTGTTCTTGATACCATCGCTCTATGATTTTTGAACCACGTTTAAATCTATTTGTAAAGCTTTTGAAGGCCTGGCTTAACTCAATTTGAACAAACTCGAAACCGAATAAGAATCTTACTGATATTTTTAATATCATTCTTAAACTACTTTCGAACCAAATCAATGACTTCAATTAATCTTACATAATATTATTTTAAAAACCTATATTTTTTCAATATCTTTTGATTTCTTTCATTAGCCTGTGCTTATGTTTCAACTGATTTTTGAAAACCACTCCTGTTTTCTTTCTCTTTGCCAGATTTTTCGCCATACCCGCCGCCGATGCATTGGTGCAATATAAATTCGGGCATGATCTGCCCTCGGTGGGGGAAATGGTGAAGAACACATCGCTCTTCTTCGTCAATCAGCACTTCTCGCTGAGCGGCTCGAAACCTATGCCACCTAGCGTCATCGAGCTGGGGGGCATTCATATACAAAAGACCGAACCACTGCCACCTGAGATACAACGCGTGCTGGATAATGCCGAGCACGGTGTGGTGCTCATTAGCTGGGGCTCGATGATACGCGCCAACTCCCTGTCGGCTGCAAAGCGCGATGGCATCATACGAGCAGTCGCTCGACTGCCCCAGCAGGTGATCTGGAAGTGGGAGAACGACACTATTCCGAATCGGCCGCGAAACATGCACATCTATAAGTGGTTGCCCCAACGCGATATACTCTGCCATCCCAATGTGAAGGTCTTCATGTCGCACGGCGGCCTCATGGGCACCTCGGAGGCGGCCTACTGCGGTGTTCCCGTGGTCGCCACTCCCATGTATGGCGACCAGTTTCTGAATGTTGCTGCCCTCATACAGCGGGGCATGGGCGTATTGCTCAACTATGAGGATATTGGCGAAAATACCGTTATACGCACCATCAAGAAGGCCATGGACAAGAAGTAAGTGCGAAAGGAATATTGATTGAGGCCTTCCTGTAGATCTCTTTCCTTTTGCAGATATGCCGATGCAGCCAAAGCCGTTTCCCACTCCTTCAACCACCGCCCCCAAACGGCACTACAAACGGCTCTCTGGTGGATCGAGCATGTGGGCCACACCGGTGGTGCTCCGCTTCTCAAGCCCAGCGCTGTGGAAATGTCAAGATTTGTTTACTATTCGCTAGATTGTTATTTGGTCTTTGGCAGCATCCTCCTCCTCGTAATTGGCAGCTGGGGTTATGTCATACGCCATTGCTACCTGAAGCGTGCCACAAAGAAGAAGCAGGAATAGATCCACAACAGACGTGCCCCACATTTTATGTCTAAGTACTATTTATGTGATATTTTGTACAACTATGTATGAGTGTTGTAATTAGTTTTGTAATGCTAAAGACCTATTCAGTAGACAAATAACCTCCGAAAGAACCGACTTGTTTGTTTAAAAAGAAGAACAAACTAAAATAAATTTGTAAAACATCGATTATAACTGTATTTTCACAGATCAATGAACATAGTCACAGCTGATTAAAGATAAGCTCTTAAGTGAAGAATTACTTGCAAATCTCTTAGAAGTTCTCAGTAATCCTCAATTCCGGCTTAGGCGCTCTCTTAGAAACATCAGAAGTAAACAAGTTATTGTTTTTTTCGCCATTAATTCGAATTTTGGAAAGCTTTGAGAACAAAAAATACTTTTCATCTGAGTAAGATAAACCACTATAGGTAACTTCACACGATCTGTAGCTCAGCTAGTTGTGTATTGTCTGTAACTCGAAGCGGACATTGCGCCGGCGATTCAGTTTCGATTTCAGCGCAATTTTTTGCTTGTAAGCGTTTGTAACCATGATTATCTTATGAGTTCAAAAAAAAATAACAACATCGAGATAACAAATGAGCACGAAACTGATTATAAGAGGCTTAAGATTTGTCAACACGACATGATGATGTGTAAAAATTATTCAACAAGAGAGAGTGATTCCCAACACGATCAGATATCGAATACTGTATATACTACACAGTGCAAATCAATAACATTTTTTTAGGGGATCTAATAAGAATAATATTTCAAACGAAAACATATCGCAACATCTTAGAACACAAAAAAGCTTTTATTTTGATGTGTATTTCTTTTTTCATTAACTCTAAGTACGTAACTTTTGTTTGCCGCATTTTCTCTTTATTTACTTAAACATTTGCTTGAGTTTTCTCTTTCAATTCTCTACTTGTATTATTTATTTAAGAGCGCGTCAAGACTGGTCCCAATAAGCGACTCTTTTGTAAACACTGCTCTGCCGTTGTCTTCTCTCTTCTAAAGAGACTGCTGAGACTGTTGTGCGTTTAAATGTTAAGTTTCACCTCCATTTGCTAAAGAGGCTTTGATTTCGCATACCCGAGGAATGAAAGTATATAGCTAGATACCCAACTTGATCAAAATCGTTGCATTATTGTGTATATAAACAATCTGTGATATAAAATATTTGCACTTATTCTTCAACTTGCTTTTATTTTCTACACAAGTTTTTTTAGCTTTTTTTTTTAGTTTAGAAACTTATGGGATGTGGAAAATTTGGTAGACGAGTTTTAAGTGTTATATAAAACTAATTGATTATAGATTGTTGCATTCAGCTTTAAAATAATACCATTTGTTAAAACACATAAACGGTTTTTAAGCATCGCCATTTAGATCAATTATTTAAATACTTTTTTTTCAAACGAACGCATTTTTAATCATCGATTTGAATTGGAAATCGAATACGATTACGCAATTGATGACTTGAAGTTTTCCATCAAACGACTATAATAACTCGTATTAGATTAGATATGGAAGAATCCAATTTCTCAAAAGAGAACTACTAAGTATTTTTCAGGGGGAAAGACAATAAAATTGCATACTACTTAAGTTCTACTTCTTTAAGTTATTGAATCGTAAGAACTTTGAAAATTTAACAAGGCAGAGCAAAAGGCCCACAAAATCAAACCTCACTCTAGAAAAGCTTACATTGAATGTTCAAGTAGTTCAATGAGTTTGGACTGTTGATTATTATTTATAGATGGTGGGACAATGTTTATTTGTCTGTTTAAAATATTTTAATTGCTTTTAGGAAAAGTTAAAAAGGTCCAGTACTAGTATATGTGCAGAAAACTGTTTATTTACAAGTATTTCACATCTGGAATATTCATTAAAAAACAATTTATACAACTGGTTTGTTTATGAAACTAGGGCTCTCGGTAATTGTAGTACAACAAGGAACCATTTACGGACATGTATTCGTGGTCACCGTTGTAATACGTCAGAACTATAGCGTATTCTCCATTCTCAATGGGAAAACGGACACGCAACTTGTCTATATCCAATTCCCATTTCTCGAGCCGAAATTCTTGATTGGGCTACAGGTTGAAAAAGTATAAAAAACAAAATAATGACTAAACTAGGTACAACTATATGTAAGTACTTACCATATAGGGACATTGTCGGTTTAGGAAATTTATATGAGTTTCTATCATAGCAAATGTTAATTTGACAACTACGTTGTTTTTCTTTTTTAAGAAATCACACACATTAAATTTAAAATTATAGAGAAACGGACGCCAACCATTGGCGCGCTTCAAAAATTGCAGGCGTACCTGAAGTATCCAGAAAAGTGATTAAATAGAGCTAATATTTGGAAGTTCAACAGAAAACATACAAATACATTGTCTGCCAACCGCTTCTGAATCCAGATTACGTTAACCTGGTTCCTGGTACGACTGATAGGCTTGATTTGGCATTTTGTGAATTCCCCATACTCCTTGTCAACAGAGTTGCAGAAAAGAGTTTTAACCTTCGAGTGCACCTGCGCGCACATTTAAATATAAAATTACTTTTTATGAGAAGGGTAGTTTATAATACAACTTACTGCCTGAATAACCAGACAAAATATGAGCACTTTAAGTAATTTCACTTCCATAATACACAATCGACTGAGCCCCAACTAAGCCCAACTTCTATATATACCCATCCACAAAAAGGAAATTGCACTTTTATTTCAAAATGTAGCTAATAAGCCCATTTATATATTTTAGGTTTGTTTGCTTAACTAGGCACGAAAATGATCTGATTTAGTCACATAGCAAATTATTATCTAAAATACATATAATATTTGAAAAAATTTCATCAGCGTGACAAGACGAATCGATTAAACCCTGTCTTTCGTATGAACATCGAGATCTCAGAGACCATAAAACCTACAGTACACATTGCAAGTTTATATTCTTCCTTTTCCCCACACCCCCACTATTAGTAATTATCCAGAACTCCCAGAACTCAGAAATGTTTAAACAAATTTAGCGATTACTCTCAGTTAGTGCTTAGGGATCGAACAATTCTAAAGGAAGGATAAATGTCTCAAACTATACATATATTGCATATATAGTAGTATGGGTTTTTACAGAGTGAAAAATTTCCACTTGTTTCTTATTATTAATTTAGAAAATATTTGTTGCGTTATCTAGAAGTACTACGAGTATATGTGCAGAAAACTGTTTATTTATTTGCCATCTGAAATATTAATTTGTTTTAAAAAACATTTTATACATTTGGTTTGTTTATGAAACTAGGGTTCCCGGTAATTGTAGTACATTATGGAACTATTTACAGTTATATACTTGTGGTCACCGTCGTAAAAGGTCAAAACTAGAGCGTATTCTCCATTCTCAATAGGAAAACGGATACGCAACTTATCTACATCCAATTCCCAGTTCTCGAGTCGAAATTCTTGGTTGGGCTAGGGTTGGAAAAGTATAAAAGCCAAAATAATAATTATAAATATGATTTGTAAGGACTTACCATATAGGGACATGTTCTGTTTTCGAAATTTATATGACCTAGTGCCATAGCGAATGTTAATCTGCCAAGGTAGAATGATTTCGTTCTTAAGAACTCACACAAATTAAATTTAACATTATAGAGAAACGGACGCCAACCATTGGCACGCTTCAAATATTCCAGGCGTATCTGAAATATCCCAAAAAAAAGTGATTAAATGAAGCTGATAGTTGGAAGTTTAACAACAAAACATACAAATATGTTATTGCATATCTTCTTCTGCATCCAGATTACGGTCATCTGGTTCCTGGTGCGACTTATGGCCTTGATTTGACATTTTGTGAATTCCCCATACTCCTTGTCAACGGCGGTGCAGTAAAGAGTTTTGAACTTCGAGTGGACCTTTAAATAAAAAATTACTTTTTGAACAGGAACAAAGTTAATTTCCTATACAACTTACTGCCTGAATAACCAGACAAAATATTAGCACTTTAAGTAATTTCACTTTCATTTTTCACAATCAACTGAGCCCCAAGTAAGCCCAACTCCTATATATATACCCATCCACAAAATTGCACCGTTCTTTTCCAAAAATAGATAATATGCCCATTTATATATTTTTGGGTTTTTTGCTTATTTTCTAAAATGTCTATGATTTAAAAAATATGACTTTTTTTACTTTCATTTTCCCACGTACTCTTATTAGTGTTTAGAATAGAATTGTTTCGTTGCATGGAGAGATAATGATTTATCAATTTTCTGCAGTATTATGTCTATTAAAATTAGCATATATCAAAGGTCAAGTGCCTTCACCAATAGAATACAACGGAAAAGAGCTGTATCCATTTCGGTTAATTCAACTATTTAAATACTTTTTTCCAAATGAATGCATTTTTTAATGTACTCTATTATTGGGAATCGGTTACACTTCGATTATATCTATGATTGTATATTACAAAAATGGTTTTTGTGCAGTTCTCGGTCGGGCAAATGTTTGAACATTTTCTGATAAATACAATAGATACTTAAAATTGCAAGTTATTGGGGGAAAAATACCAATCCTTTTTTATTTGGGCATGATAGCATGTTTTTGATTGCATTGATTGTGAAATTATAGAGAAAAAGACTACAAGCTGACACGTTTCATTGCATTCAGGCATATCTCAATATATCCACACTGTAAAGATTTCTAGAAAATAAATATATTCTCATCTCTCTACTTGCGTACGAATCATTCAAGCATAGCCTTTTATTTTACTGAGAAAATGTTAATATAAAATATTCGAAAGTTCTTACTTTCTCACTAAGTTATGCATTAACGTTTTACTATTTTATCTTCCAATATTTACTACATTTCCTTATGGTCCGAAATCCAGGGGAGTGCTTGGCAATCTCCAATCTTTTATTTTATTCCTTCGTTGTTTTCTCTCGCAAAAGAAAGCTGCAGCAACAATAATATTTAGTTATTTTACTTCCATATTACACAATCGACTACACTCGTATTATCCACAATTTCGAATGGCACAAAATTAAATTATACTTTTTTCCAAAATTATACATATATATATTTATGCTTTCTAGAGTTGTTTGGTTAACTAGCCACGACAAATACCTGATTTATCTAAAATTACTATAATTTCATATCGATTATTACTCTTTTTTTTTTTTGGTAAATTTTAAATTATTCTCTTTTATAGTATATTCTAAGCTTATTTTAATTGCAAGCAATAAACCAAAACTATATGTTCTATATGTAAGTATACAAGTGTTCCGTTCAATTTCAACTTCGTTTAGCTTTCGGTCATCCACGATTTATCCAACACCATATGGTATTAAAAACATTCTGAATATCTAATTTGACTTCAAAATCTTGATAAACAAAAAAGGCTTTTCTTACAAAATTTTAAATAAATATTTAATAGTTTTGTTTCTATGACTGGATAGATGGTTTGATAGAATTTTGTGCGTCTGATCGCTCCGATTATAAGTATATATCGTCTATATATCATTCTTCTGTAAGTTACAAAACCTTCCATCAAAGGTAACCCATTCACATTTTAGTAAAAGATAATACTAACTGATTTGTTATGTACGGCTATGTAAATACAAATATACATTTTCTGACTCTCTTATCTATCGCGTCAAAAAGTTCATTTAAGAATTTAATATTCCCATTTGGAAAGGGACTCAATAATTATCCTTTTCCTTGAAGTACCATCAAAAGATAAATTTAAATTATTATTTAAATTATACTTTCAATTTTTCCACCCACTTATGCGTCGACTGGCCGAGGCTGGCCATAGTGTAGATGTGCTTAGCCCCTTTCCGGATAGAGAGGCCCCGCCCGGCTATACGGACTACGATTTAGCGAGCGAAATACACCTCAACGTTATGGACTTAAATGTTAGTACATTTCAGCTGCCAATCCTATATTGGTAGAATTTAAAGAAGCCAATTTTGCAGGTCTTCGAGAGACGCAACTTTATGTATCACTATCTGGAGTTCTTTATGCTTCATTCCTTGGGCAAAGATACTTGCGAGCACGCCTTGAATTCTCAGGCCCTTGCACGGATCATGAAGCGACCCCCTGGCTACTACGACGTCATTATTATGGAACAATTTAATAATGATTGCCTGATGGGCGTGGCATATCTGCTGCAAGCACCTGTGATAGCTATGAGCAGCTGTGCCATGATGCCTTGGCATTACGAACGCATCGGAGCTCCCGTAATACCCTCCATAATATCCGCTCAGTTTCTGGCACTGTCACAGGACATGCCCTTTGCTGGACGCTTGGCCAATTGGATAACCGTCCACTCTTTCAATTTAATGTACAAGTAAGTTGGGATGAGACATGAAAATAAACTTAGAAATAATCAAAAATAAATGATTAATTTCTAGAATATTTAATACACCGGCGGCCAATGCCCTGTTACGTAAAAGATTTGGAGCTGGCATTCCATCGACGGGGGATTTGGTGAAGAACACTTCCCTGATTTTCGTCAATCAGCATTATTCGTTGAGTGGCCCAAAACCCCTACCTCCCAGTGTTATTGAAATAGGTGGCATTCACATACAGCCGGCCAAGCCCCTACCCGATGAGCTGCAACATCTGCTGGAAAGAGCAGAGCACGGCGTAGTTCTGATTAGCTGGGGCTCCCTCATAAGAGCCAGCTCCATGCCCCCCACCAAGCTGGAGGGCTTATTGCACGCCATTTCTCGATTCAAGCAGCAGTTCATCTGGAAGTGGGAGAACGATACAATGCCCAACAAACCGGACAACGTGCACATTATGAAATGGATTCCCCAGCGCGACATTCTGGCTCATCCCAATGTCAAGGCGTTCATGTCCCACGGTGGTCTTATGGGCACGACCGAAGCTGTCCACTACGGCGTTCCGGTGCTCGGCACACCCATGTACGGCGACCAGTTTCTCAATATGGCGGCGATAGTTCAGCGCGGAATGGCCGAGGTGCTCGACTATATGGATATAAGTGAAGACACGGTCTTTGCAGGGCTAACAAAAGTGCTGCAGCATAGTTATAAGGAGAACGCTTTGGCCGTCTCGATGTCCTACAACGAACGCTCCCAAAAGCCTCTCGAAAAGGCACTGTGGTGGGTGGAGTATGTGGCCAAGACCAAAGGAGCACCCCTGGTTAAGTCGCGTTCCGTGCATATGTCCCGCTTCGCCTACTACTCGCTGGATGTTTATTTGGTAATTGGAAGTGTCTCGGTCTTAAGCCTGGCCATCATCTTTGGCCTGATTCGCTTATGCTGTACTGTAAGACAGAAAGACAGGACAAGGAAGCTGAAGAGTAAACGACATTAGGAGGTCTATTGAGTTACAAAAGCATTCATAATCAGTAGAATCAAATTATTCATGACAGTCAACGAATTTTATATTATTCTCCAAATTTTTGAAGTAAAGACACAATTTCTAATCGCTACTTGTAGACTTATTTGGTAACATCATGGTACGAAGCAGTCGCTTTCTATTCCTACGGCTGCTAGTGCTGGGACTAACACTCGCATCGGTGAACTCGTTAAGAATCTTGGGGCTCTTTCCTTATCGCGCCATGAGCCACTTTCAAGTGACGCTTCCACTCACACGCGGACTCGCAGCTGCCGGGCACAATGTAGATGTATTAAGTCCCTTTCCCGATCATCGCCCACCGCCCCGATATACGGATTACGCATTGCCCGGCGAATCCTATTACAACGTATACGATTTACATGTAAGATAGGGTCTCATTAATTGTTTGGAGCTGAATTTTGAATTGTAGGCCTTCGACAGATATTCGAGAATCGCAACTTCTTGCTACCTCTGCTTGAGTTTTTCAACCTCTTCTCATTCGGCGTGGATAGCTGTAATCAAACGCTGAGCTCGCAAGCGCTTGCCAAGATTCTAACGCGTCCGACGGGCTATTATGATGTCATTATTATGGAGCAATTCCATACTGACTGCTTGATGGGCGTGGCATATCAGCTAAAGTCGCCTGTGATTGCTCTGACCAGCAGTGCCCTGATGCCCTGGCATTACGAACGCATGGGAGTGCCGATTATACCCTCCTTTATACCCAACTTTTTCCTGGGACACTCGCATGAAATGTCAATATGGGGTCGCGTGTCCAATTGGATAACCATACATTTTCTAAAATTGCTCTACAAGTAAGTAGAAACCTCTGCTTATTGGAACAAATTTGTTGTAACTAAGCATACCCAGACCTTTCAATACTCTGGCGGCCGACGAGATGTTGCGTAAGAGATTTGAAGACCCTAACATGCCGTCGACAGCCGACTTGGTGAAGTACACTTCCCTATTCTTCGTCAACCAGCACTATTCGTTCAGCGGCCCAAAGCCCTTGCCACCCAATGTCATTGAAGTGGGTGGCATCCACCTGCAGCGCTCAAGGCCGCTGCCACCTTATCTGGAGCACATGCTGAACGAAGCCGAGCATGGTGTGGTGATAATCAGCTGGGGCTCCCTGATTCGTACCAGCACCATGCCACCCGCTAAGCTTTCTGGCATCTTGAGCGCTATAGCCCGATGCGAGCAGCAATTCATTTGGAAGTGGGAGAACGATACGTTGCCCAATAAGCCGGACAATCTACACATTGTGAAGTGGCTACCCCAACAGGACATTCTCTGTCACCCCAATGTCAGGGCCTTCATGTCTCACGGCGGCATGATGGGCACAAACGAGGCCGTTCACTGTGCTGTTCCCGTGCTAGGCACTCCGATTTATGGCGATCAGTTTCTAAATATCGCCGCATTGGTGCAACGCGGCATGGCTGTACGCGTTGATTATGATGATATTAGTGAGAAAACCATTTATAATGCCCTACAAGAGGTGCTGAAAGAGAAGTACAGGATTCACGCCAAACATGTCGCCTTGTCGTTTAACGAACGGCCCCAGACTCCTGTCGAAACAGCCATCTGGTGGGTGGAACACGTTGCAAAAACCGGAGGTGTACTCCTAACTCAGCCGAGCTCAGTGCATATGTCCCGATTCGTTTACTACTCGCTCGATGTCTATTTAGTATTTATTGTTACAGTCCTGCTTTTAGTAGCCGCATGTTATGGAATTTTGCGGCAGCTTTGCCGCCTTAAAAGATATATATTTGCCCAAATAAAATTCAAGCAGTTATAAAGAAAATTAAAATGTAACAAATCAAAAGAGAAAATAAATTATAATAGGCATAAGAGATATATATAGTATACATATTAGGAGAAAAGACTCTTTTATGGAAACCAATTCAGTTTTTATGCAAATACAATTGATACAAGCGATCGGGGTCACCAAATGTTCACTGCAATTACTATATAATAAGATTAATAATAATTAATTAAGGTCATTGAAATCCTTTCTTTAAATCTCTGCTACTTATAGTTAACAAGTCCGTACTTCGGTTAATTTAACGTTGGAAATGAAATCGGAATGCACGGACAAGAGCCCTGTAGCGCTAGGAAAGTGCACGGCATCTCCCCAGCTCTGGACATCAATAGAAACACAGCACTGTTTAAACTTATAACAGACCTCTGCCCTGTAAACAGATATTTCGTCATTCCGCAGTCTATGGAATGATTTTTTCAGAAGTTGTAGAGAGGAGAAAGAGAAGAAAAGCTTGAGCAACCCGCGCTAAATGATCTCACAGGTATACTAATCGAAACTAGCTATTTTTACCCCAAGTGTCAATAAATGGATCGCTTCAGCCGGACATCTTCCAATTTATAGTTTAATCATAATAATTAAAGATTAAGCTAATTAAACTAAATAACCTTCCGTCGCTTCGTTGTAGAACTGCCCTTGGAGTTGTGTGGATTGTTGGGAGTGTAGATTCCTCTGCCCTTTTCAGTTCGCCGGAATTTCTCAGATTCAGAATAAGAAATTATTTTCCTTTTATTTTTAACAGATGTACAACTGATTATAAATTTTATAATCCATTTCGAAGATTGTGCCTATTTTTTAATAAACGCTCTCTTTTCTGTCTGTGAATTTTATTTTTTGTATTTTAATTTCTTAGTTCGTTTTTTAATTTAATTTATTTAGCCATTAACTACTCGTAATTTCAATTTTATGTTTCAAATAGCGCTACTCTTATAACATGCATATACATTCTATTATGCCAATAAAAAGCTCAAAATAGGCCACTGTACGATTTCTGAGTTGTTGTTTTTGTTTATTTACATATTTATTTTTGACATCGCTGACATCTCGGAGAGTTTGGATGTCGACGCTGCTCTTTCATGATTAATTTCGTAGTCTAATTCGCCAGTTGTTTGCGGTTTTTTGTGGAAGGTGGTCATTGCGCTGTCCACGAAGCTTCGCGTGAGTTAATATAATTAAATAAATATTTCTGAGAAATAGAAAAATTAAAAAATACAAATTTAGCTTCTGGTTGTGCGCAAAAGAAATTTATATATTATTATTGTTTATGCAATTCTGTAATATTTTATCAAAACGTAAGACTCGCAGTATATATTTCGAACAAGATTTAAGTTCTATATTTTCATCTAATATTTTTCAATGCTAGAAATAATTTTTTATTTAAAAATTCAAAACTGCAATGTTTTTTAAAGCGCTGTTAGTTTTTTTAAGAGCTCTACTTAAATGTTTATGCTCACACATATTGCAAATGGTACAGGCTTAGTTTCTTTCCTTTTTGTTATACATATTTCTTATTCCACATACATATTTATTTTTGACATCGCCAATATCTCGGAGAGCTTCGATCCGTCGCTGCTCTTTCATTTGTCAGTTGTTTCTGGTTAGTTGTGAACAGCGGTCCGCTCACAGTCGTGTGAATTAATATAATTAAATACATTTTTCCTAGGGTCAGGAGCTGCAAATTTTAACAAACAAAGAAATATAAAATCAAAATTCAAATTGTCTCAATATATGTGTGTTAATAACACATACAAAATGCATTCCTACGCTATAACAAACATAAAACAAAATTGGTGTAGTTCTTAAAATACATTCGATTTCTTGATTTGAAAAGAATTCCCTCTTCTTACCATGTGTGTCCCAATTCTTTGTCAGTCTTCTTTGCGAATATGTTGCAAATAATTTTATGTATACCTAACTCAGCTAGCACCATCTGATTATATGCTGAATACATAGTACCTATATCTATAATTATATATACATACATACATAGCTGCAGTAAAATCTTTAAGTATTCATATCATGCTTGTCTTCTCAGCAGAAACATGCCACACAACGTTCCATTCAGTTGGATCTTCCTGCTGTTGTTATCATCTCTAGTATTAACAGCAGAATGTGCCAAGCCATTGAAAATCTTGGGACTCTTTCCACATCCTGCCAAAAGTCATTTCAATTTCTTTCATCCGATACTGCGGGGCCTCGTAGACGCTGGCCACAGTGTGGATGTCGTGAGTCCCTTTCCTGATAAGAGAGCCCCCGCCAATTATACGAACTACAATTTAGCGAGTGCCGCTTACATTAATATCATTGACTTAAATGTGAGTATCCAAATGCCTTTATAAACTGTACCGCTTGACTTTAAACCCCGAACACTCTGCAGGTGGTGGAAAACCGCAATCAGTTCTCCCACTTTAATGACTTTATGGCGCTTTATGCGATGGGCAAGGAAGCTTGCAACAACACCCTAAGCTCAAAGGCACTAGAGTCTATACTCGCACATCCTCCAGACTACTATGATGTTATTCTAATGGAGCACTTCAATACGGACTGCATGATGGGCGTGGCACATAAACTTCAAGCGCCGGTCGTAGCTATGAGCAGTACTGGACTACTGCCTTGGCATTACGAGCGCATGGGTGTGCCGATTATACCTTCCTTTCTGCCCGACCTGTTTCTGGGTCACTCACAGCAGATGAACCTGGGCGAGCGCTTGTTGAACTGGGTCACAACCCATTCTCTCAACTGGCTCTACAAGTGGGTGCAATATTATTAGTAGAGGGTATAAAAAGTACTAGTATTTTTATACTTTCCAGACTATTCAGTGTTCCTGCAGCTGATCAATTGTTGCGTCAAAAGTTCGGCCCTGGCATACCTTCAACTGGTGAACTAGTGAAGAACACATCCTTGTTTCTCATCAACCAGCACTACTCGCTGAGTGGCCCAAAGCCTTTGCCACCCAGTGTTATTGAAGTGGGGGGCGTCCACATACAGCCACCGGGACCGCTGCCCGCTCAACTGAAACGCCTGCTCGAGAATGCTAAGCACGGAGTGGTTCTCATGAGTTGGGGCTCAATGGTTCGGGCCACTACAATGGCACCCGCCAAGCGCGATGCCATCTTGCGTGCCATGTCCCGATTCAAGCAGCACTTCGTGTGGAAGTGGGAGAACGATACACTGCCCAACAAGCCGGACAACGTGCACATCATGAAATGGATTCCACAGCGTGATATTCTGGCTCATCCCAATGTGAAGGCTATGATATCCCACGGCGGTCTTCTAGGCACCACCGAAGCCATTCACTGTGGCGTCCCCATCTTGGGTACACCCATGTTTGGCGATCAGTTCCAAAATGTAGCCGCTCTAGTACAGCGTGGAGCGGCAGTGCGACTGGATTACACGGCTATCACTGAAGATGCGCTTGTCAAGGCTCTCACCAAAGTTCTCGATAAGAGCTATAAGAATAACGCCCAAGCGATTGCTCACTCCTACAACGAACGTCCGCAGAAGCCGCTGGAAACGGCCCTTTGGTGGGTGGAGTATGCCGCAGAAACTGGGGGGGCTCCTTTGACCCAACCCAGCTCCGTGCACATGTCCCGCTTCATTTACTACTCACTGGATGTATATCTGGTGGTATTGGGAGCTCTGCTGCTTCTGCTCGCCATTGCTCGGGAAGTAAAGCGAGTGTGTTGCGCGGCCAAAGAGGAGAGCTCGAAAACCCCTAGCAATCCGAAACGCAAACAAAAATAGGCATTGAGGCTGAGATACTATTGTCACTTTAAAATAAAATGTTTTCAAAGAATAGCCGACATACATGCTATGTATCTTCAAAATTATCACACACGTCTTTTTAGATATATTTTTTTGAATTAATTTAAGAACCCTCCACATGGCACGCAACGGCTCTTCTAAATTGATTTTTCTGCTGCGGCTGCTCATTTGGGCGCTAGTTGGAGGATCTGCGAACTCGCTGAACATCTTGGGCCTCTTTCCATATCGCTCCATGAGTCATTTTCAAATGACCCTCCCAATAACTCGTGGACTTGCAGCAGCTGGACATTATGTCGATGTTTTGAGCCCCTTTCCAGATCAGCATCCACCACCTCGTTACACGGATTACGCATTGTCGGGCAAAACTCTATATAACAATATTGATTTGCATGTGAGAACATCTATCCATCGCTTTTCCTTTCGTTTGCGTCAATATAAGGGTTAACATCTTTACAGACCTATGAGAAACGCACCTATTTCCGCGACTTGTATGAGTTCTTTATGATATTCTCATTGGGCGTCTCGACTTGCAATCAAACTTTGAACTCGCAGGCACTCGATAATATTTTGAGACACGCACCAGGCTATTACGATGTGATCCTTGTTGATACCGAGTCTGATTGCATGACGGGCGTGGCATATATTCTGCGGGCGCCGGTTATAGCCCTCACCAGTACGGCCCTTATGCCCTGGCACTATGGACGGATGGGTGCTCCGATTATTCCATCACATATGCCGGCTTATTTTCTAGGTAAGCAAGTCAGTCCCAGGTCTACAGAGCAATGATAAAGGGGAAAAGAATACTCTACTTCCCTTGCTGGTTTCCAAAATTGAAGAATACTTGAAAATATTTTGTGGCTTTTCTTAGCTCTTGACGAGCACATTAGTGCTAATTAAAAGGTTTATAGATATGGAGAGATTCTATTACAAATTTGAATACCCTGGAACCAAAAAGTACATATCATCAACATCAACATGATGAGATGAATATAACTTTTCAACAGCTAAAGGTTTTTAAAAATCGTTTTGTCAATTATTCTTAATCAACTTAAGGAGATGATGACAGAAGACTCTACTATAATTCCAAACTTTTAATATATTTCTCTTAAATTCAATAACTATTTTATACCTCTTATTCTTCAGTCAACTTATTTTTCTGCCTCTATTAGTAATTGCTCTTATTCTAATAGAATTTCATCTTACATTCTCCTCCTGAACCCAAAAGGTACATATCATAAACATCAACATGATGAGATGAATATAACTTAACAACAGCTAAAGGTTTTTAAAAATCGTTATGTCAATTATTCTTAATCAACTTAAGGAGATGATGACAGAGGACTCTACTATAATTTCAAACTTTTAATATATTTATCTTAAATTCAATAACTAGTCTATACACCTCTTATCGTTCAGTCAACTTATCTGCCTGTATTAGTAATTTCTCTTATTCTAATAGCATTTCATCTTCACACTCTATTTAACATTCTCCTCCATTTTGTAGGTGAATCACAAGAAATGAGTTTTCTGGGACGTCTGGATAATTTTATTACCACACACACATTCAATTGGTTGCACAGGTGAGTACGAAATAAATAACTTAATCCAGAAAAAAAAAAAACAATAACATCATCTTCCACACTTCAGGATATTCTACACTCCTGCCGCGGATGAGATGTTGCGTCAAAAGTTTGGCCCCCGAATGCCTTCGACGAACTTATTGGTGAAGTACACTTCCCTATTCTTTGTCAACCAGCACTACTCGCTGAGTGGCCCAAAGCCATTTCCACCCAATATTATCGAGCTGGCTGGCATTCATCTACAACGACCTAGAGCCCTGCCTTCTGATCTAAAATTGTTGCTGGAGAGCGCAACGGATGGCGTGGTGATTATCAGTTGGGGCTCCTTGATACGTGCCTCCTCTGTACCTCCAACCAAGCTGAACGCAATCTTGAACGCCATCAGTCGATTTAAGCAGCAGTTTATTTGGAAGTGGGAGAACGACACGATGCCCAACAAGCCGAAGAATCTACACATTGTGAAATGGCTGCCCCAACAGGATATACTCTGTCACCCCAATGTTAGGGCCTTTATAAGTCATGGCGGAATGATGGGCGTAACGGAGGCGGTGCACTGTGGAGTCCCCATTCTGGGAACACCCATTTATGGTGATCAGTTTCTGAATATCGCTTCACTGGTGGAGCGAGGCATGGCCGTCAATGTGAATTATAATGATATAAGCGAGAAGGCAATTTACGAGGCTCTAAAAGAGATTTTGCAAAAGAAATACCAAACTGCAGCGAAGGTAGTCGCCTTCTCCTTCAACGAACGATCCCAGACGCCGCTCGAAACTGCCCTTTGGTGGGTGGAGCATGTGGCTAACACGAAGGGCGCTCGTCTGACTCAGCCCAGTGCGGTGCGCATGTCCAGTTTCGTGTACAATTCCCTGGATGTGTATTTGGTGCTCGCAATCGGGGTCCTTCTAACCATTCTCATCGATGTAGCCTTGCTTCGATTTATGTTCAGCATGAAGAGCAGCGCTGCAGAAAAATCACAAATTCCCTCCGATAATTTAAAATCAAATGTGGTAGAAGTTAAATGCAATTAAAAATTATATTTATAAAAACAATTCCACCATTTACAACTTTGCTTTGGTGGCTCCAGGGAACCCTAGACGATAGAGCGCCACCACAACGGCACCGCCCAGACCCAAGTTATGTTGCAAAGCCAGCTGGCAGTTGTCCACCTGACGCTTCTCGGCCAGGCCGCGCAGTTGCCAGCACAGCTCGGCGCATTGGGCGAGCCCAGTGGCGCCCAATGGATGACCTTTTGAAATCAAACCACCGCTCGGGTTCACTACAAACTTGCCGCCGTATGTGTTGTCGCCGCGGTCAATAAATTCGCCAGCCTTGCCCTCCTCGCACAGACCCAAGGCCTCGTAGGTGACCAGCTCATTGGCTGAGAAGCAATCGTGCAGCTCAACCACCTGAACATCCTGTGGCTTAAAGCCACTCTTGGCAAACAGACGCTGGGTGGCCAAGCGGGTCATATCGGTGCCCGCAATCTTCATCAGACTCTTGTCGGCGAAAGTCGACTCGGGATCTGTGGCCATTTCCATGCCCACAATCTCCACAGCTTGTGCTTGCAGGCCATGCCGGCGCACAAACTGTTCGGAGGCCAGAATGGCAGCTCCCGATCCATCAGAGGTGGGACAGCACTGCAACTTAGTCAACACGCCCTCCACCACCTGTGGCGACTTCATAATCTGCTCCAGAGTGTACTCATCGCGGAACTGCGAGTAACTAAAAAAAAAATAAAGTCCATAGATAAGCCAACAACGCGTGCTGTAGTGCATTTAATGAAGTGAGCAATGGTCGTTATGACGTTCGCTTTGCAGGAACGAACTTTGCGCTGATAAGATAAACCGATTTATAACAGAGCAAGACAAACGAACTTTCGACTCCAGAAGCAAACAATAACTTACGGATTATTAACCGAGTGCTTATGGTTCTTCCAGGCGATTTTACCAAAATGCTCCGGTTTCGTGCCATACTTCTTCATGTGTTCCTTGCCGGCATTGCCGAATATCTGCGCAGCCATGGGACCGGCACCAATTTCCGTCAGTTCCCCCATTTCTGTGATGTGTCGTTCCATGGGATTAACACGATCAAAGTACTAAAACAAAGAAATGCAAATTAGTTTTCTCTCTTTTTCTAGTTTACCATTCTTTACGCACTTTTGCTGCTAGAGAGCCGCGCTCCATCTTCTCGAAGCCTAGAGCCAGCACGCAATCGGCGTTACCCGACTCGATGATCTGTTTACCCAAATACAAGGCACTGGAGCCGGTCGAGCAGTTGTTGTTTACATTGTAGACGGGTATGCCGGTCATGCCCACTTCGTAAACGGCACGCTGGCCACAGGTGGAGTCGCCATAAACGTAACCCACAACCGCCTGCTGCACCTCCTCGAACTTGATGTTGGCATCCTGCAGCGCCTTCGTAACGGCCTCCTTGGCAAAGTCCGGATAGCAAACATCGGCACGGCGACCGGGTTTTTCAAACTTAAAGAACATACATATTTAAATTAAGATACATATGCCACAACCAGCGCAGGGTCAAAGTTCACCATTTACCTTGGTCATGCCGACGCCGATAACATAGACTCTTGTTTTCGTCATTATGTATTTCCAATTACTATCACCTCACCGCTTGATCAACAAACACCGACTAAGTGATTGAGCGAGTCGATCCCGCCGAAATAACATGGTTTAAACGTTAAAAAAAGCTTTCTGCATATTTAGATTAACTGCCACAGAAGTTGGCAGCCCCGCGACACACACATCGTAACGTATACTCCTATCGATAGCTATCGATATCGCTGGCACTATCGCCGAAGCAGCAGCAACGGCGATTGTAATTTATTCCTGTTCGTTAGACGAACTTTGTTTAGTTATTGTTGAGAGCCGCAGCGCAGCAGTTGCAATTCTATTGTTTTTTTTAGCAAATTATTCAACAAACAGGTTCAACATGACCAAGACTCGCGTTTATGTTGTTGGTGTCGGCATGACAAAGGTGAGGGGGCAAAACTTTGGGCAACTCTACGCAATTATAAACAAAGAAGCTGCAAGCAACAACTACAACAACAGCTAGTTGAGCTGCAAATGGAGTTGAGCAATAGATCGAGCTAATTATCGCACTCGGACTTTGTACAGAGACAAGCACTTCGGTCATTAAATTGAAATATGTAGATCTTGTTTCTACGCCCTAAACTTTATCGCTGCGATTTGAGATTGTATTGGCCCCTAAGTGGGCCCGATTAAGCTTGTTTTTTTTTTGCTAAGCATTTGATTAGCTGGCGATAAACAGTTCAATTACTGACCCCAAACCCTTCTCTCACTGCAGTTCGAGAAACCCGGACGACGTGCCGATGTTTGCTATCCGGACTTTGCCAAGGAGGCCGTCACGAAGGCCCTTCAGGATGCCAAGCTGAGGTACACGGACGTACAGCAGGCGGCTGTGGGCTACGTCTATGGCGACTCCACCTGTGGCCAGCGGGCGCTCTACGAGGTGGGCATGACCGGTATACCCGTCTACAATGTAAATAACAACTGTTCGACCGGCTCCAGTGCCTTGTATTTGGCCAAGCAAATTGTGGAGTCAGGCAATGCAGACTGCGTGCTGGCTCTAGGATTTGAGAAGATGGAGCGTGGCTCCCTGTCGTCCAAGGTATATATAAACCAACAATATTCTGGCCTCTAAGCTGATCATCTTTTTGTGCAGTACTTTGATCGCGCCAATCCCATGGAGCGTCACATTACCGAGATGAGCGAATTGACAGAAATCGGCGCCGGTCCCATGGCTGCGCAGATATTCGGCAATGCCGGCAAAGAGCACATGCAGAAGTATGGCACGAAGCCCGAGCATTTTGGCAAAATCGCCTGGAAGAACCACAAGCACTCGGTTAATAATCCGTGAGTAGTTTAATACTTAAAGTTATTCACATAACTTAACATTCATTGTCCATCCAGCTACTCACAATTCCGCGATGAGTACACTCTGGAGCAGATTATGAAGTCGCCACAGGTGGTGGAGGGCGTGCTGACTAAGTTGCAGTGCTGTCCCACCTCTGATGGATCGGGAGCTGCCATTCTGGCCTCCGAACAGTTTGTGCGTCGGCATGGCCTCGAATCACAGGCTGTGGAGATTGTGGGCATGGAAATGGCCACAGATCCCGAGTCGACTTTCGCCGACAAGAGTCTGATGAAGATTGCGGGCACCGATATGACCCGCTTGGCCACCCAGCGTCTGTTTGCCAAGAGTGGCTTTAAGCCACAGGATGTTCAGGTGGTTGAGCTGCACGATTGCTTCTCAGCCAATGAGCTGGTCACCTACGAGGCCTTGGGTCTGTGCGAGGAGGGCAAGGCTGGCGAGTTTATTGACCGCGGCGACAACACATACGGCGGTAAGTTTGTAGTGAACCCGAGTGGTGGTTTGATTTCAAAAGGTCATCCATTGGGCGCCACTGGGCTCGCCCAATGCGCCGAGCTGTGCTGGCAACTGCGCGGCCTGGCCGAGAAGCGTCAGGTGCCTAACTGCCAGTTGGCTTTGCAACATAACTTGGGTTTGGGCGGCGCCGTTGTTGTGGCTCTATATCGCCTCGGTTTTCCTGCTGCCAACAATGTGCGCCACAATCTGACAGCTGCTGCAAAGGCAGCCACCAGCGATGAGGGCTTCAAGGTGACGGCATTGCTTAAGCTGCTGGAACAAGCCATGCAGGAGGACAAAGACAATCTCATTGAAAAGGTGCGTGCTGTCTATGGCTTCAGAGTCAACAATGGACCCAATGGCACAACTGGCTTCTGGGTTATTGACTGCAAGCAGGGCAAGGGTCAGGTTATCTTTAATGGCACACGTGAGTTTGGATTATAATGGATGGTTTTTATAGCTTTTGATAAATAATGTTTATCCCGCAGAGAAATGTGATGTCACCTTTATAATCAGCGATGACGATGTCTTTGAACTCTTGACCGGAAAATTGCCACCACAGAAGGCATTCTTCCAAGGCAAAATCAAAATCCAAGGCAACATGGGCTTTGCCATGAAATTGATGGATTTGCAACGCTCGGCGCAAAGCCGCATTGATGAGCTGCGCTCCAAGTTGTAATGTGTTTTGGAATGCGTTCATGTATTTTAGAAGTCGCTGTCATTCCGAATTTAGGTTCTACATATTATCCGACTTGTATAGAAAGAGTGCAATTTACATTCGAGGGGGCGAGCTGTCTAAAGTGCGAACTGTTTCTTATTTCAAAATGATTATATAGATCAAAGTTTGTTTAATAAGAATGTCTATCTGCCTTAGCGGAAATGTAAGCTCCGCTCTTTCCATATGCGAACGATAAATTGTATATAAAAATATATGATATTTGAAATTTATATAATGGGCTGGTTGTCTCACATCTGTACATGTTTTCTATATGTGTTATAATACTTAAATAAAACTAGAGCTGTCGCAGATTTTTTACGTTTTGAATCTTTATTGTTTCATCAACGTTTAAGCTACATGGGCGTTTAAAAACTACAGTTTACATCATATATGCGGTTCGTATCATAATTTTTAGCTTGTATGTATAATAATAATATGTGTGTAAGGTGTATTGTGTTATGCACTTTCTTCAAACACGCTTCACAAAATAGTCGTCATCGAGAAAAGAGAAAAGAAAACACTGGGGTTTTTTCGATTCTTTTTGCATTGCGATGCATTTAAAAACTTCACCAATGTGCAGATGCAAAATAGTAATACATAAAAAAGTGGCATATGTAAACATATCAAATAAAGTACATACATTTAAAATATATAATATGCTGTTTAAAGTACAATTGTTATATATAAACGTGGGCAACTGTCTTGATTTTTCGTTCTGCATCGACTCTCGTGTAAATAAATAAAAAAACTACATGACTAAAAGGGGTTTCCAATTTGAGCTTAAAAACTACAATCAATTATCAAATATAGGGTGTGTGTGTGTGTGCATACATATATATGTCTTGCTATGTACAATAAAAAGTGTTAAGTGAGCTCAAGCCTTTCGTTAAACGAATACACATGCGCTTAGGTAAATAAAATAATAATAATTCTATAAACAAATGAAACATTATGCGAAGTTCAGGTTTCTTGCGAGCTGAAGAACTGGGATATCCCACAAAAGTATTGTCAAATCTTTGGAACAAATTGTATGATTTCATAAAACTTCCATAGTCTCTATATTAATATTACTTGCATAGGTTTGTCTTAAAATACGCGGACAAAGTTTTCAATACCCTGCACCGAAAGTACAAAAAATCTAATAGTTATAAAAGGAGACCTTTGAAAAACAGGCTCACACAAAAAATTAACAATCATTTTATGAAATTGCAATTAAAATCGCACCAATAGTTCCAAAGATATTGCAAGGCTTGTGAGGACACTTTGAACGCAGAGAACTTTGATCACTGATCGCTTAAATTGTTTAAATTCATTTTCCACTTAAATATTATATGGGGAACAATTCCTTATTGAATTGGAAATGGTCAGTGATCCAATTCTGAAGGTTAATATAGTATTCCAGCATAATGTCTACAGCCTCGATTGCTGACCCTCCAGTTCAGTATGTGTTATTGGAGTTGGCATATGGATTCGTTGTGGCTGTGGCTCCACCTCCTGATGAAGCTGATGATGTAGCCGAGCTATTGTGAGTGGTTGTGCCCACAATCTTAGGCTTGTCCATGCTGGCCATTATGGAGCCGAGCAGGTCTACTGGTGTGGCTGATGTCTTTGCTGTTACGGTTCTCGTGCCGCCGGCTATGATGATCTTATGTGAGGGCAAATTGAAGGTATTATAGGCGGGCTTTAGGGCAGGTGTGGGTGTGCTTGATGGTGTGGATAAGGGTATGGTTGAAGGTAGTTGGGCTGGCGGTGGAGGTGGCGGCGGCGGTGCAATTGTGCAGGAAGGTGGCAGCGGCGGCAAAGGCGGCAATACAGTGGGCAGCACCACCTTAACCAGCTGGGCGGCATGTATCGGCAGCGGTGGCGGTGGCGCCTGCGCTGGCATAGGCGTGGGTGTATCACTTGGAATATCCATGTGCACGATTTCCTCCCCCATCACCTCCTCCTCATGATCCACAATTAGTTGTGGCGTACTCTCTACGCTGAGCTCATGGGCCACTTCCATGGGACAGGCGGGCAGCAAAGCCGACTCAGCTAAGGCATTGCCAATAGGCGTGACATCGTTTGCTTTTGTCGTTTCTGTGGCTGCCGATACTGCTGGCGGTGCATCAGATACCATTTTGAGTTGTATTTTGATTTCGGGCGCTTTTTGATTTAAATTATTTATGTAGGCGTCGCGGTGTATTAACGGCGTTTGAGGCACTAAAGGCAGCGGCAGGCCGGGCGGCACACTAGGTGGCGTCTCTGGTGTCGTCGTTGTGGTTTTTATTGGTGAGGGCGAGGGCGTTGCCACCACTGGCAGGGCATTGGTTGATTGATTGGTTGCCTCAATGGCAAGACGCGACACTTTGGCCGGCGTGCAGTTTTCGGTTTGCTTTTCTGGCTCCTTCGTCTTCTTGCTCGGTGTTGTCTCTCTGCTGCGACTGCGGGACTTGTTAGTGCTCTGCTTACTGGACTTCTCCTTGGGCTTGGGCTTCTCCTTGTCATGTGCGGCTGCCGCCGCTTTGGTCAACTTAAAGGAGTGGTCCAGCACCATTTTCCGCATATCTATTTTTGCATCGTCTTTGGTCGCTTTTCTTTTGGGCGTGCTGCTGCCGCTGTTGCAGTTGCTATTGTTGTTATTGTTGTTGTTTAAAGTGGGCGAGGCACTGCCCACTTCCTTCGTTGTATCCTCAATGCTGCTCTCACTCGAGCGACGTTCCTTTCCATCCAAATCGATGAGCTTGCGTTTCGCTTTGCCATCGTGAGCCCGCTTCGAAGGAGTCTTCTTGCCGCCCTCGTCATGGCCAATCGGATGCGGCAATATGGTTTGTTTCTCCTTATAGTGTGGTGTTTCGGCCAACACTGGATTATTTTTCTCGTTGATGACCTCCTGGCCGGGATAATACTGACGCAATCGCAGGTGCCAAGCTAACAGAGAAAGTTAGTTAATATTAATTTTGAATAAGCCGATCTACATTCAATTCATTTCAATTTAATCACATTGAAATCCCTTATATCATTTTCAATATTGGTGTCTTACCTATGCTCGTCACTGCCGTCACTGTGCGAAATTGATGAATGATGTTGCGTGGCAGAAAGTAGATGTCGTTATCGCAGAGCTGTATGCGCGCATAGCGTATGCCATCGCGTCTCAACTGATTCAGTTTGGCATCCTCAATCCATTGCACGCACTGCGAAATAGGCGGTTCATGCAAGTCCAGCTGCAGCATCTCGACGAGTGTGTTAAAGTCCTGGGCGGCAAATGCGACTACATCCTTGGTAATACGATTCTGTGTATATGGTTGGCCGCAATGCACAGCCTTCAAAATACCTACAAAATAAAGAAATACATGGTTAGCCAAAGGCTTCATTGTTCCAAAACTATGATGATGGGGGCTCACCAACTGCTGCGGTTGTGATACGCTCGTGTCCATGTCCCACATGGTCTGCATGCGCCTTAGTGCGATCCTCAATCATTGTTTCGCGCGCCTCCGACAAACGCGGCAAATATTGCAAGTTGCGCAGCTCATTGATGCGTGTGCTGCAAAGAGACGATAAGCCCAGTGAGTTAGCTTGAATGTAGTGTACAGTTAAGGGCAACCTACCGCTGCCTTTTGAGTGGTGTTTTGCTGTTTAGCTCAGCCGTGGGCACTAATTGCTCGCCGGCACGTATCCACAGTATGGGACCGTCATTCGATTGACGCGGATCTGTTTGCAATATGGAATTGACAGCCCAGGGCATGGTCTGTAAAGGAAGTGAATGGTAAAGAGTTATTGCTATATAATGTTGAGTTCGTGAAGCAATACATAATTATACAAAGTAACATCTTGAAATCTTGAAAAAAAAAGGTGAGTATCGCTGGAAAAGTCGACCCACTTCTTTCATTAATAAAAGAAAGGTCCCCAATTATATCAAAGTTTTTACAAAGCACTTTAAAGCCAAATCGCAAGTTAAACTGCTTTGTTCATTTATAAGGAAAAGTGAATGAGTTCGACAAATCTCTGAATAGTTTGTCTCACCATACCTTGCGCAAAAACGGATTCATTTCGATGCGTCCGAGGAGATCAGGAAAGTAGCCGCCTACCTCCTCATGCACTTTGCCCACCAAACTGATTTGATGCAATGGTCCATAACGAAAGGTTCCCTGGCAGTAATTGCGCATCACCTATAAGGAGGTAAAAATGGTAAATATGCAAACTAGATTGGCAATTAAATGGCAATTCTAACTCACTTGTTCGTTGTACTGTGCCATTGTGCAGGTCTCTATATCCGAGTTTCGCCCTAGAACGCCAGCCTTGACGGTGAGCGTCGAGTAGTTCTCGGCCATGTGTTCTAGCAGATCGGGTATATAGCGTGCAGCATCGTGTACAATGCCCATTACATGATGGGCATAGCCCTGTTCGTCTTCGGCAAAACAAACGCCAAAGAACTCGTCGACCAATTCCTCCATTTCGTCGGGTGAGAGTTCATCTATTTCGTGCTGATACAAATGCACAATTGAGGCGCCACCATTGGGATATTGTTCTACTTGAAAGTAGTGTCCGTATTTAAGATTCTCCAGTCCAGGCGGTGGTTTGCGGTTCGGCGCCGGTGGCAAACTCTGCACCGTCTGCCAGGCACCAGCAACGGGCGCATGTTGCATACATTGGACGCCCACACTGCTGCGTCGAATTTTGGAGCGTTTATAGCATTTGGAACAATCACGCGAGGACGATGAGGAAGAGGAGTGACGCGAGGATGATGAGCTGGACGAGCTGCCGGTCTTGTGATGGCTGCTGGACGAGGAATAGGACTTACGCGCACTGGAACTACTGGAGGAATGATGATTGCTGTTGGATGTTGAGATTTTTGGCGCTGGCGACGGCATCAGAGAGGCCGAGCTACTATTGGCTGTTATTTTGGGCTTCTCAGCGCTGCCAAAATTCAGTTGTCGCGTGACCTCGTCGCGTGTCTTTTGCGCGCTCGCTTCTGTTTTCACATCACCATTGAGCAATGGCTCCTTTTTGATTGTATTATTGTCCACGGACTTGCTGCTGGTAAGTACTTCTTGTTTAACCACGATCTCCTTCCCTTCCACCTTAATTTCCTGCTCCAATGCCGCAACTACTGCTGGCTGCAGCACCTCGTCCGTTGCTACCGCTGCAGTTGACGACGATGACGACTTAATGACGTTGAGTTTGCTGGAACTGTTGTTGCTGCTGCGACTGCTTTCGGAGCTGCGACGCCGATGCGAATGTGATGAGGAACTTGATGATGACGATGGAATCTATGCGGAACAAATACGACAATTAGTTTTTAGTTGTGTAGCTAAAGAGCATGTGTTTTTCCTTTAATACTCTTGCAAAGTGTATTTGTGTATGAGTTTCTTCCGATATTTCCAACTCAGAAGAAGTCATTCAAACTAGTCTCTCAGTTTGAAAGCAAAAGAGCTAACAATTCTTCTTTTTTTGCAAACAGATAAGATATCGGAGCCAGCCATTTTGAAATAGTACATCAACTGCGATCATTTGAAGAAGCATTCTGAAGCTATACTAACGATTTTTTACATACGTTGTTTAATATACAGTGATATAGCAACGATCTGGTTTAAACCATGATTTGTTGCTGATAAATTCAACAACAATTTAACACAATAGGTAGAGGAACGGAAAGGTAGTTTTGCAAGGGTATTTAGGCTTCGGTGTGCAGCAGTTCATGTGTTACAAGTTTGTTTTCTTACTTTTTCGCGCTCCCGCTCTCGATCGCTTCGATGATACTTTTTGTCTTTGCTGCGCGACGATGAAGATGTGGATGTAGTTTTATAATCGCTGCCGCGTCTACTACTGCTGCCGCCCGTGGACACTTTTGAGCTGCTGTCCCGATCACGATCTTCACGTGAATGATCCTTGCGTTGATCGCTGCTATGACGCCTCTCTTCATCCACACGATCGCGTTCCTTATCTTTTCTCTTTTTCTTGTGATTGCGCTCTGTAATAGAAGCAGAAAACAAATAAGAACAACAAAAACGTTGTTTATATGTGCCCGAGGAATGTGTTGGCATTATTCTACTTACCCGCCTTGTTGCTGTCCGATTCCGTGTCTGCTACTTTGACGTAATTCGCATTCACTGTCGACGCTGTGGCATTTGCATTCCCATCGCCTGACAGCTGCCGCTGCTGCTGTAGTTGTATTTGCTCAGTGTTATAGTTGTTGGTGTTGTTGTTATTCTGGCCCTCCTCTATTGCCGCGCCATTCCCGAGAGCACTTACATTGTTTTCCATTAGCACCGCTTTGTTTACGGCCAGCTGCTGTTGATGATGTTGTTGTTGTTGTTGCTGCTCCAGCTCCAACTTAGGTTTAATGGTGCGCTCATTCTCCAATTGCAGCTTATTATTACTGTTGTTGTTGTTATTGTTCTTGCTGTTGGCCAACTCTGCTGGGGCCCTAATAACTTCAGCACTCGGCTCGCTTATCATTACAACCGCCGCCCCCGCAGTTGTATTTGTTTGTTGTTCTAACTCTTTTTTCATTGCCTCAGCACTTGTAGGCGCCACACTATTCTTAAAACCACCAGCACTAGCAACACCACCACCTCCACCTCCTCCTTCATCTACACCACTACCGTCAACATTGGCATCGCCGCCTAATGTGTTTTCCGCTTCCATTTACCACTATTTGTGTGTGTAAGTGTGCTTTCAGTGTGTGAATATTGATCGGAGCGCTACGTGATACAAATCAGGAAGCCGTTTATCTTATGCGCGCAGCGACATGCGTAATTCTCGCGAGGTACGCGCGCTTGCACTTGTGTGGGTGAGCAATACTTTGGGTTATGGTTTCGCAAATTTACAGCGCACTTTTGTTAATTGCAGAACGTTTTCGTTCATTCATTGTTAGCAATTGGCAATCGACTAAATGTGGGTGTATATCGAGTGGACAATCGAGTCGCGCAAACGGTGGTGAGTCGCTAATTGCGCGGTGTTTCGCAGCACTTATGCGCACGCATAAAAATTAAGCAAGTTGGCAGGGTAACGGAAAAATGTTTGTGGGATCATTAAACTTGGGAAATATTTAAATGCATCCTTTCTTCCTTTAGCGTTTTCTCAGGAAAGTATTTCTTTTGGCTGCCCTAAAAGCTGCCAAACACCTTGTAGTTTACTACAAGCCCTAATATATATATATATATTAAAATATTTTAATTTTATAAATATTATTTTCCATTAAAAACGTTATTGCATAAATAATTCATTTAATATATATTTAATTTCAACAGATTTTTGTACGGCAGAAAAAAAATAAACACAACTTCTGTGCTTTTGAACTATTTCGTTTCTTTACTAGTACTTTAAGTTTAAGCAATTGTAATTGCACTTAAGATTTATGCATACACATTTAAGTTTCATTAACTAAAACCAATAAAAAATGTAGTTGTAGCCATCATTTGCGGTTGAAAATCACTCCACTTGTGAAGCTGCGTGAATTTCTTTTCCATCTGCACAATATATTAAATTTTGTTTGGCATCAAAACATGAAATGAAAATATAATTAGTTGAATTAAAATTTGAAAATAATGCTTGTTATTTATTCAATTGTGATATTACATCTTTAAGAAAATTGTGCGTTTCCTATTCTACAACCTTGACCTTAAAATAGCTATCCACCGCTGCTAACGTAAGAATTTCACGGCCAGCTGCGCCGTGTAATTTAATTATTTACAAAATTATCGCACAGTTATGAAATTCTTAAAAACACTATTCATTCATAAATCTTTTTCCGAACCGATCTACTCTACTTTTTTCAAGGTGCGGCAATCCTTGGCTTTAAATTTAATAGTTTCCATGAAAATATATACATATGTGAGTCAGATAAATTCAAATTAGATATTGTGAAAAGATCGATTACAGAATGTGATTAACGAAAACCATCCTTTTTTGACGCATTTTCGAATTTTATCAGTAAAGTCCTAAAGTATATAAATTAAAAACGTGTCTATACCGATCAATGTTGCCAGCACATCGCCACAAAATAGGGACGAAGAGACAAAAAAAAGGCAGGAAAAAGGTATAGAAACATTTTAAAAGGACAAAAACACTATTTTTTCGTTTAAATGTTTACTTTTAGTGTTTGGGATGCCAAAATGATGTCCTTAAATAATATTTACCCAAATTCAAGTAATAATAAACAAGCTCAAACAAACTCCCGGCAATGAGGTTTAGCAGAAGAAAGAAAGAAGTTATTTCGCTAATAAATTCTCTTAAAATTGACAGATTTTTATGAAATTTTAAACAAGAGTAAATAGTTATATATACTTAGCATACATTACGCATTCAAAGTTTGGTTAATCTAACGTGTGGACAGTATTTAAATTTTTTCAGGCAGAAATATTTTTTAAATAGACAGATCTATCCGGAAAAATGCTGAAAAGGCAACACTGATACCGATGGCTAAATCCCATTATTAAATTAAATTAGGGACAGTATGTGAGCAGAACCTCAATCTGCATTTATAAGTTAGATAAATCCAAATTAGATATTGTGAAAGATGGTGGTTAACGAAAGCCATCCTTTTATGACGCCTTTTCGAATATTATCATCAGTAAAGTCGAAAATATATAAATTAGAAACGTGTCTATACCGATGGCCAAATATCCATAAATTAAATTAGGGACAGTATGTCTGCAGAACGTCAATCTGTGATGCGTGTGTACAAACAATAATCAGAAATGTTTAACTTTATTTTTTCCATTTCGACGTAAAATTTAAAAAATTAAACGAATAAACCAGATATTATGTGTGTGTATGTTGTTTGTTTGTGAGTGTTTGTATTACAACAAAATACGAACAGAAATTGTGGCTGGGCATCAAATAATGGTATTGGTATTGTTATTCAAGGAGCTCGATCTCTTTTCTTCAGTATTCAGTCTTCTTTTTTGGCAGCGGTAGCGACGGTTTCTGTATTATGACCATCAGTATTTAATGAGCTCATTGGCGGCTTCAGCAATGATAGATTCGTTGCACTGTCCAAAATCTCATCCTTGCGTACATGCAGCATATCGATCTCAGTGAGGGCCACATTCGGTTCCTGCAGGACGCAAATAAAGTTATGAAGGCGAATTCTTTCAGATGGTTAGCTGATGTAAGTAAGCACTTACCTTCTCCATTGCAGCATCAGAGACCTGCAAGTGGAATTTGTCCTTGCAGAAGCGTGAGAGGAGTGCAATGCCAGTAGCACGGCATTTGGCGTACTTGGACTCCCAAGCATCCATCAGGCGATTGTAGTAGCGCGCATTCTCGAGGTAGTCCAGATAAATATGAGTATTGGCAGTGGGAAAGATACGCTCCAGCGGCTTACAACGGGCCAGCTCGTCTTCGGAGACGATGAGGCAGCGCACATCATCGGGCAGCAGATTGTCGAGTATAGTATCAATATACTCCTCACGGAACTCCAAGTTGCGATTTGTGAACTGATTGTGTTTGCGCACCTCGTCGGCAGTGAGGCAGGTGGTGAAGATGCGTTTGTCGTGGCACAGGGGGCCCTCTAGATTCAGCTCATCCAGTATATCGGTCTGTTGCCGTTCGTTAAGCTTAGGCGGCACCTGATAGAGAGCCGTGTTCAACACAGCCTGTATCAGTGGACCCTTCACATGTAAATCGAGCGGCAACTCTGAATGCAACGATGGCGATATGTTTATCTCCAACAGCCATGGAACTAGATTCTCATCCAGCAGCACATCGAAACCGAACAGCTCGAAGCAGTTGTAGCGAAAGTTAACATTCTGGCGATACATGCGATTCAGACCGGATTCGCCGCTGATAATGCCTTTGATGACGAGATTCCGTAAAGTGGCCCACAAACGTTTCGTGTTAACGCCCCGATTCTCCAGGCAGGACCACAAGGACTGCAAAGTCCACTTGTGTCCCTGGCACGCATTGAAATCCTCATTTTTGGCATAGTTCTGCGAAAACTTGTTGATGCTATAGTTGGTGAGGTGCATGCAGCGTTCATCCAAGTTACTCAGCTCCGAGCTATACTTCACAGAAGCGAAGCGCGCCAGACCATCCTTATAGATATAGATCCGCAACGGATTAATCGATGTGAGCACAACATACAGACGCATATCGAACTTGTTGTCATTGATCAACAATGGTCGTTCTATGTACCTGGAATGATATCAAAATTAATGCGATATAGATAGCAGTAACTGTAGAGACAGGCAAGTCAATTGATTTCCCGAAACATAATCCCTTTTAGATTTTGTGACGCTCGAAATCACCTGCCCATCTCTATGCTTCATCATTACTTTTGCACAACCAGGGGACGATCTTTGGGAAATTGGCTCCATTTATTTACAATACGGATGCCCGTTCCACGGGCACTGGCCGGCGGCTTTACGATCCATTTCGTAAGCTTGGACGCATTCTTTGGCCACACTTGACGCAGATTCTCCAAATCATCGGGCATTATATACGATCTGAGCACAGAGAAAACAAAATATTGTAAGTTCTTCTAATAGGACTATTGTTAAAATAATGATTTGTACTTTTGCATGAAACCGAATTCCTTTTTGCCAAACTTCCGCATGTTATTATAGATGCTGCGCCACATCGTGTCCTTGCGTCCAATGCGAAACGATCCGGGTATGTGATTATATTTCTGATGCGAACGTATCGTGCGAAAACCTGGACTCTTCATATGCTTCTCCCAAACGGCCATCCAATCAGTAGTGTCTGCATTTGAAACAAATTAAAGGGGCTTTTTCGTTAAAAAATCGTAATAAATATAAAGGTTTCGGTACAGAGTGTTTTTTAATTAAAATACCGTAATGGACTAAAAAGTTATTTCACTATAAGTAATTTTTTTTTAGCGATTGTTAAAACTGGATATGCATATAGATAAGACAAGTCCACAGTCTAAGTTTGGTGCCGCTAGCGGTTTTAGTTTTAAAGTTGTCGACGTTCATACAGACGGACGACTGTGTTACAAGTTCGATACAAAAACTTTTAAAAATTCATATATTCACGAATATATTGACGAATTCAAAAATGTTATCAAAAGTAATGAGAACTGGAAGTTTGCAGTTAATTTATTTAAATTTCGAACTTACTCTTGATAATACGAAATCCGGAATTGAGCACCACGCGCTTAACAATTTTGGGCATCACCGGACTCAGTTTCCATTTGAGCACACGATGCAGAGAGGCAGGCATTGGGGGTCCCTTATCGGCGTGCGAGGTAAAGTTTAGATAGGGCGGCACATGTGGAAACAGACTGGGCGATAATATGCAATCCGGCCTAAAGTACGCAGAGGCCTCTGAATCGGTTGTTCCTACGGATTCCTTCGATGGAACCTTGTCCACCTGCAAACGTATGTTACGACTCTGATGCGTCTCCTCCTCATCCTCATCCAAATAGAATGGTGTGCCCACGTACTCCTCTTCCGAATCCGAATCATCATAGTTGTTAATGTCATCTATAGCTGTGTGTATGGGAGGATGATCGATGATCCCTTATGAGACCAAATGCTATATACTACAAATGGGGAAGGATACGCACCTGCACATGGATCATCCTCGTGATGGCGTCGATCGTGGTCCGTGACCTTATTTAAGGACACCCCTATATAATTCGTGTGTTCTCCGGAATTCAAGCGCACCGTATTGTAGTGAAGGGCACTCTGTGTTGGATGGGCGTAGAGCGATGCATATAGACTGGTCTCCAGGGCCGTTGCTGCGGATTTCGTCAGACCGTTTTGTGTTAGAATCTTTGATTTATCTTCATTGTGCTGGGCGCTTAGCAAACTACTGCCATGGAAGGTATTAACCACTATCTTACTAGTAGGCTTCATCGTGTTAGTGCTCGATATGCTTCGACTGCTGCTCTGATTGCTGTTGCGATTGTAATGCACAACTGCTCCGGATTTTGGGGGGCTATGTGTGCTGGTCGACCGTTTGTTCTGAGAGACGGCCTGTTTAGCAATACCCTCGTCACGTGGGCGCTTTAAAAGCAGTTGCTGGTGTTATATGATTAAGGCAAAGCAAGGATACACAGCAAAGCACAGCACAGAACATGAAACAGAAATGAGGATGCAACGTGCAAAAGATTAGTGAGATGGTGTTAGCGGTTGAATTAAACAGGGATTATGTATATATAAGATTACTGTATTTTCTCTGTCTTCAAAAAAGTCAATCAATTCCTTGCTGAGATAACATGTATTTCGAAGTTAAAGTATAAAGAAACTGAAACTTTTAAAAACTAACTACAAAAATTATTCGATATATTTCAAAACTCAATAAATAGGGAAAAGAATAAACATTTACATTTGAATATTGCCTGTTGAAGATGTATTTAAGCTGCTTTAAATTCTTGATAATCCATGACTATTTCGAACTCTATTACTATTTTAAGAGTCGAAAAAGTATATATGGTTCCACAAAATATCTCATAAATAGACTTTTATTTTGTAATTTTGTGATGTATTTGGATTAATTGTGAAATGTCAAGCTAATGAACTGAAGCTATAGATTACAACATATAGATAGATTATGGCAAATAAATTTGGCGTATTATGATTTCCAATAAACTTATTAATAAAAAAAATAAAGTAGAAGGGTAATTTGTAAGTTACGGGAGTTCAATTGTAATTGTAGTTTCAACTAAAAGATATGGTAGTGAAGTGATTTTTGAGTTAGGGGACTAAAAATACAGACATTGAAAGGTAACATCATTCCAGCGCCGCTTACCTGCACTTTTCTAAACGGATCTGCAGTTGCTAGTCGAGTTGGCGAGGTGGAGGCAGCGCTAGCCTTTGGCACACCACGATTGTGAATACGACCCGGTTTGGAGGGCGGCACTTCGATAATCTTCTCGGGCGTCGCACGACGCTTGGGCGACGGCGACTTTTGCTGACGATGCTTCTGTACGGGAGAGAGCGACTTCTTCAGCGAATACATGCCAGTGATGTTTGCAGCCGCAGCAGCAGCGGCGGCAACGGCTGCAACTCCATTGCCAGCACCAGCAGCAGCAGCAGCAGCAGCGCTGATACCACCAGCCGGACTGCGTGGCATACAGAGCTGATTATCCATTTGGCAGGGAACAGCGAATCCTTGACGCATGTGTCCGAAATTATGGGGCCCTAAATGTGGCGATTGAAATTGCTGATGCTGATGTGGTTGATGGCCATGGGATGGCATTTGATGAATGCGATGCGGATACTGTTTGCACATCACCAGCTTGTCCTTGTATATTTCGACCTCCTCGAGCCATGATTCGTGAAAGTCCAGAATCTCGATGCCTTTGCCACGCGCTGACCGCCTGTTGCTGCTATTCTCTTTAGCGGCATTTGTGTGCGGTCGAACTGTTGTCCTTTTATCGGTTATCTGTGCCATAACTTATTTGACAACAAATTTTGATAGCTGCGGGTAATGCAAATGATATGTTATTGTAGTAGTTGTTGTATGCGTATTTTCTTTTTATCGTATTATGTGACGCGCACGTTCAAGGTGCACGCGCGCCGCTTCTCTACTTAAGTTATTACTTCAGTGCAATGAGATAGATGGCCAACTGTGTGTGGCTATTTTCGACATGGCACAGCACCAAGATCATTTAGCCATGCCCACCAGAGCGCGAGACAAAGGCACACCACGCACACACACACCCATACACAATCTGATAATATCGATGTCGTCGTCGTCGTCGCCGTTGATCCGAAATCGATCAATGAAATATCTGCTAATTCCTTTGCATGGATGTGTATGTGTGTGTGTGTGTGTTTGGCATCAAGATCATCGGGCGTTTGGCGACGTTTTCTTTTTCTTGGGCGTTGGCGTTGCCAAAATGCAAGCACTTTTGTTTAAGGGAAGCGCGCGCGTAACCAATTTTTCACACTTTCATTGCATTTCTCGTGCAGCTGCCGAGCGACGCCCGCTTTTCAAACTGCAAAACCCGCGCAAATTGTTGGCAATAATTTGAGACTGCTTTGCGCACTTCAACGGCCAAACACTCACCTTTACATTTACAAGCACCACTAATAATTTTGTTAGGACAGATAAGAAATGTACGGAAAATTTGTAAACTTTCATATATAGTAGGAGCACTATGTTTTTAAATACTATTTTTTGCTATTACTTATATTCTTTTCAAATGTAGTTGTTGGGCCCTAGACATGAAATGCCGGCAACAGTGTTGCTTGTTGAAAGTGTGGCCAAGCAGCCAGTGTTGCCCGTTTAGTAAACCAGCCAAGGAGCTGCCAACTGTGGGGAAATTGGTTGGTTGCTAGTAAGGCGCGCATTGCTGATAATTTAAACTATCAACTAGCACGATTTTCAATGAAGACGAAAGTAAAATCATTAAACATGCCAATAATAATTAAAACAAACTAGCAATAAATTATTGTGCTATCAGTTGAACATTTACACGCCACATAAATCAAACGAAAGTAGCTGTTTACCTGCGTTCGTTGTGGAAAAAAATGGACACACACAGGGAGAGACTAAGTTACGACCTACATGTGCGGCACGAATCAGAATGTTGCTGATCTCGTTGATGAAGCCATCAACATTTCAATTTTATATACACCTTCTGTCGGCATTGTGGCTGCTTTTATTGATTCTGTTGGCAGCAGGCAACGGCAGTACAAAGTGATTTATCGCAGATCCTGCGGCAAAACTCAAACTCAGAAGCGGTCATAAGAGCTGCGGACAAACCACAACCAGCCTGGTCGGGCAGATACAAATCTGTCGATACGTTGTGGCCGTGGCTGTGGAGACGGCATTACGAGCATTTAAACGGCACTCAAGGCACCGCCTACAAAACGTCAACAACACAACGGCAGCCGCATGATGAACTTATCTACATCTTTGAAATACATACATATTTAACGTGTTCTGTCTGCCCGTGTACGAGACTGTGTGTGTGTGTGTGTGTGTGTCACTAACGTTGCAGTGGCACTGACTCTTGTCCGATTATAGATACAGAGACGTCATCTTTTCTGGCCGCCTGTGTGGCCAGCCAACCGTCACTACTTAGTTGGGTCCTCTCGATTTGAAGAGTGTTTGTGCGATAAGCGCGCCGCTTGTTTATTAAATATTATTAATTAACACAAAACGGGCATAATTAATATCAACATGTCGAGTTTAGAATTTCATGCCATGAAACCCATGCTTACACCTTTGTGCGCTTCTCGTAGGCGTTTCAAAATATGAAAATATCCGATTTCTGCACTAAATGCAATCGTCAACCACTCGAGCTGCACTGCATTCGGCCTCCTGTTATATATAACTAATTTTGATAATCAGTTGCTGAATAGTAGGCATTCCACATGTGTGCTTTGGCAAGCCTTTCACCTATTTTCGGCACCTTTTGGTAAACATGAGACGTTCCAAAAAGGATTTTTCACTCTTTGCCGCCGCCCGCTTTGTTGGAACTCTTTGATCGGCACTTCGATTAGATCTCAGTTTACACCGTTCAAATGTTCAAGGTGTGCAAAACTGAGAGCTCTCAGCTCTGCTGCGCCATTATTCAATTACAAAGGCCATCCCAGCCGTCCTCAAGACGGGCACACATGCTCCAAACCCAAATCTATTCTTTCCTTCTCTTTATTTTGTTCTGATCTAATCGGCATGTGTGTTGCGTAATGTAAGAAGCCGTTGTAAATTGGCTGCTATTCAGGATGAAGAGGAGGAGGGGGAGAAGAATTTTCATCTCTTCCATTACGATTTGTAGTTCCAAAAGAGTGCAAGTAAGAAGTATTTACATTACATTTTCATAGTCAAGTCAACGATTCGTTTTTATAGCAAAGCTAACTGGAGATTTAGCCTTAATTAGCCCTTTGATATTAATTCGATTTTGAATTTTCATCAATTAGAGATAATTCGAAAATTTTTTTTATAGATTGGCAACTAAAGAATTTATATAATGGATGCTACTTTTGGCTTCTTCATCTAGTTAGTTTCGAGTAAGATCTCGACACTCGTTGAGGAAGAACAATCAATAAAACGAAAGGCTATTGGAGTTCATTGGAAAGATGGGAAACTCCCTAAGATTTGATTAACTAATAGATTGGGTTTGAACATATATTAAAAAGTGTAGTATATTATTTTACTAGCTGGTTTTATTGTTCCCCAACGGTGGATTTTTGTGTGTACTATATAATAGCAGCTTTTTAAAGGGATATTATTGTTGAATAGGGAAAGGAATATTTTCACAAGTTTCTTCAAAAATCAAAAACATTTTACAAACAAGCTATTTCGATTACGTGATGAGCGTGGGTTTTCCTTTTATTAGAGATCGATATAAACATATTGTCTAAATTCGAAACGATCAATCCATTTAATGAATTAGTTTTTAATTAATTCCAAGATTCCTTTATCTGATTAATTTGGACATTGTATTTGACTGCACTTGGCTGAGATTTGGGGTATAGCTAGACGTATAGCAAATAAAATTCACCTATCGAGTCGGAGTCTTTTAATATTATGATATTATTGTTAGTTGATTAGATTTTTCCAACAACGGCTTTCCTAGCTCATGAGACTATGAAAACATTTTTATTTTTTTTACCCGACAGTCTCGACAGTCTATGTTTGTCGTCATTAACTAAATTGTTAAAAAATAAATAAAAAAAAAAACACCTAATGGTGTTTAAAGTGGTTTTAGTTAACTACTTAACTTCTACTAAATAAATAAAAAAGAAGCGCAGATATTAGATATATGCAAAGGTGATAAGACTAGATCAGGACTAATAGTCCTAAGGTGGCTTCAGTTATGTGGATTTTTTGAGAAGCGCGGCGAAGAGGTTTGTTTTTACATTAGTCGTAAAATATTTATATAAAATTCAAAATAAGGAATACTTATTGCTGCTTCTAGTGGTTTTATGTATTTACTTCATATGAGAAGCGCAGGGAATTAAATTGCAAATATTAAATCAGTTATTATTGCCTCAAATGCTCTAAAGTAGCCTTTCAAACCAAATATTTTCACAAATTTTATAAATATTCTTAAAATTTATTTCTTGTACTTGTATAATACCAAAGTTTTGCTGTATTATTATTATTATTTTTATTGAATTTGTTAAACTACCTCTTGGAATTGCCAAAATAAAAAGACGCCCCTTTTTATTTAAAGTTTATAACTCAAGCATAAGTTAAAACAATGCCGATTAATTTTAATGCTTTCGGTTGTTTCCAATGGCCATAATAAAGAGTCATAAGTTGCAGTTGTTGTTGCTGTTTTATTTTTATTATCGACTTCAGTGGCAATATAAAATGGAAATTTATTTTATGGCCCAGGTGGAACGGGGTTGTTGTTTCTGCTACACCCGTTCCTATCCAATACAGTCTCCCCTCCTCTCCTTTCCACCTTTTTGCAAAAAATCTTATATTCACGACGACAACGCAAAATTGCCGTCGCGCTTTTTTGTTTTTTCATTTCTCGTATATTTTTTCGCTTCATCCCAACTGGCTTAATGGTAGCTGGTTTGTTTGACGTTGATAATTTAGCAAGAAATTTCAATATTTTGACAGCATTGTGTGTTCCATTTTTAGAAGCGAATAAATTGTGGAGAGCCCAGATGAGCTGAGAGATGAGAGAGATGTGCGCGACCTTTAACGCAGCGCTTCCTTATCGATGTCAAGGCAACACCCCAAGGGGTTAAGAATAGAATGGGCAGCAATTGATTGGGTTGCCAACAAAACCCCAAAACCTTTAAGCAGAACCTGGAGTTAAGTAACAGCGGCACAGTGGTCCATCATGCATAAAATTAACATAATTGAGCGGTCAAACAGACAAATAATTTTTGCACAAACTTCTCCGAAATTAGCACCAAGCATTTAAAAATGATCCCAAAATAAGTTTATTGCAGTAAGTGTCTTAAAATAATCTTATTGCATAGAAAGATAATTATTTATTGGTTGAAATTTTGTTAGCTTTATCTTTTTATCTTTAACTTTTTATCCAAGTTTGAAATATTGACATTGTAGAATGTTTTTTTTTTAATATTTTTAACTGTATCCTAATTGATAGTAAGTTTTTTCCAGCAAATAACTGATGTTTGGAATTTGGAAATATATTTATTTAACTTTATTAAACTTATGGCCCTATAAAAAGGCAACTGTTTTTTATCTTTGCCTGTCTTCGGTACGATTACAATGATGGATTTAGTTCACTTTTCATAGCTGCGAATCATTTCAATGGGCTTTTGGATACTTATATCCGAAATGAACTATCTATGAAGCCCCATTACAAAACTGGACAATCGCTAGAATCCTCGGACCTAAACAGTCTAGGTATAATATAGTATAGAACTAAAAGCTTAAGGCTCTTATAGATCTTACGGCTTTTAAGATTTCATATGGTGCTAAGGATTGATCTTACGACTTGGGAATTTTAGAGGTTTCAAGATTTTAGGAACATTTTTATCTAAGACAAGGTTTTAAGCTTGTTAGGCAGCTAATGAAAAAACAATTCTTTTTACACGGTCTTTATTTACACGATTTTGATTTAACACTGTTTGAAAATTAGAATTTTTTATATGGTTACACGACTTTATTCCATTAAGCACGATTCATTTTGCATATAATCAATGTCTTTTTTTACACGGTTTTTTTCCCCACGACTTTTTTAGGAACCAATCTACCGTGTAAATACATCATGTACATAAGTCTAAGAATATTAATCGGAGCTTTGAAGACTTAAGAATTAATACTTGTAATATAACGTCTATCAATCACCTAATAGTGCATTGTTACTTAACATCGCCGTCTAAATATAATCTTCAATTGAATGCCTTACAAACCATCTGCAACTGACTGCGAACAATCGAGGGTACCTATATACTTGTATGCCTATTTAATGCCTATTTTTCCTTATTATGGCACCACTATGTACAATTGTTCTAAGAATATAGTGAAATGCGAATTATGTGAAGAATCCACTGTAAATCAACTTAACAATTATTATTATATAACCATGAACCGTCAACCTGCTGCATTCTTCAGCCTTCAACAACTTTCTCGGGGTGGGGAAGGTACCTATGTAATACCTATATAATACCTATTTTTCCACATTATGGCACAGTTACAATTGTTCTAAGAATATAGTGAAATGCGA